ATCACAAACATTCACAAAGCTTTATTTATAACACATTAATGCTTTAGATACAAAATGCAGTTTTCGATTGATGGTTATGTTTATTAAGGGAAATCATCAAATCTACCTCTTACTGGCTCAGAAAACAAAGGACTGGTAGTGGCCTAGTCAAAACCTGAACCTAATTTCAATTAGGATGTTATAGTGCGACCTTATACAAGTCAGTGTACCTGGACTGTAATACTTCTGAAAAGATCAGTGGGCCAAAATGCCTACATATGAATGTAAAAGACTCTTTGCCAGTTGTTGGAAAAATGTAAATGCTTTTTTATAGAACTGCATAATGCAAAGAATTTATCTTGTGAATTTTAAAAAGCAGAACCTTTTGGCAGTGGTTGATGATGCCTGTCTGAAGTTTGCATAATATCCAGATTCCTGCCGTTTGAACGTGTGTGACCTGGGATATTGAAGAAAAGCATTGAAGACCTGTTATTTGTAACTGATGCAAAAAAAAAATAACACAAAAATATAAAAACATTGGATTAGATGATTAGGTAAAATATTTATCTTGTATAAAGATACAAATACTTGAATCAGGTATTTACATACAGTGCAATAAAACACAGTCAGTGTCTGATCTCAATCAGACAAACATTTTTGGTCATTTGTCTGTTAAGAATTCATAAATTATGTTTATTTATAAATTCTGCAGAATAAATATGGGGAAATGTTATTGCTTTTTTCAAATTCAGGAGTTTCCATCTTTTTCATCTCCAGTAGAATTACTTTTTAAACTGTATGACCTGGACCAAACATGTGCCAGCAGCACTTTACTTTATTCCCAGAAGGCCAATGACCGTATCATCTGTCAGTATCTCTTACCTTATATTCATATATATCCACTTCCAAATGCATTTTATCTACTTGTAACATCAGATAAATTGGTGCTTACCTCTTGTACGTTTTGTAAGCGACTATCCCAGCTGCAGCAATGATGAGAATGATGGGAAGTGGCACAAAGATGGCCAGGTACATCTTGATGTTCCCATCGTCATGCACATCAGGCATGGCGCTTGCTATGAACAAGAGTCATTTCCATTAAAGAAGCCTTACTGAAGATTTTTAATGTATTTGTTTCTGAGGAACAGATTGAATAAATAACATGAAGTAAATAAAATATTACTTGTAAACTCAAATGAGGGATAATCTGTGTGACTCAAGGAACCTTAGGAAAAAAAAAAAAGAAAACATCTGTTTCCAAACAGAGAAAACTTGATCTGTATGACTGCAAGCTATAGTTCCCTAATGGAATGAAAACTTTGACTATGATAGAAAAACTTTAAATGTTGTAACAAGCATAAAATAGCTGGTAAAACTGAAAATATACTAACTTAAATTTTTTTCATCCACATAAAATTTGACGGCATGTTTCTTGAAGCTGTAGTAGTTGCTCCGTCCAGAAACCCGCACGTAGATTGATGGTTCAGTTTTCCTAATATTGAAGATTTGCAGAGAGCAGTTTCCATCGCTGGCTTCTCCAATTAGTTTTGTCCTTCCCTGGAAGTGTGGATCTATGCAAGAGGAGCTAGGATGAAAAGCAAATGCCAGCTTGTCGTTGTCGTTCCTGCTGCAGCTGCTTCTTCCATTTGTTTTCCAGTAAACTGTAATGTTTGTTTTTTGTTCCGGAGGAGTTTCAAATGTGCAGAATATGATTATATTTGAGCCTTTTGTTGCAGTTATGTTCTGATTCACGTTTATCTTCCATTTAGGGTCACCTGTGTCTGAAAAACAAATTAAAAAATGCTTGTCAGCAACAGATAGATATAAAGACATATAGACAGATAGACAGATAGACAGATAGATAGATAGATAGATAGATAGATAGATAGATAGATAGATAGATAGATAGATAGATAGATAGATAGATAGATAGATAGATAGATAGATAGATAGATAGATAGATAGATAGATAGATAGATAGATAGATAGATAGATAGATAGATAGATAGATAGATAGATAGATAGATAGATAGATAGATAGATAGATAGATAGATAGATAGATAGATAGATAGATAGATAGATAGATAGATAGATAGATAGATAGATAGATAGATAGATAGATAGATAGATAGATAGATAGATAGATAGATAGATAGATAGATAGATAGATAGATAGATAATAGATAGATAGATAGATAGATGTCAAACCTTTAGCTTGTGATAGCAGTATCCACATTACAGTGAGATAAAACAGAATTGGGAGCTGCATCTGATCAAAGAATGTATATATTTTGGTTAAAACAGGAAGAAATCTTTAAAATTATACAGCTTTTTTATGTACTCACTGTGAAAAGGATCCAGACGATGTTGGTCTTTAACTATTATGTCTGAGCACTAATGTGAAAACTTGTTGCAAGGCTGGGCAGCATGTGAAAAAGGAAGGCAGCTCTGACTGAAATGTGACTCTGCAGAGTCTCCACCTAAACTGCAGAGGAACACTTACCCATTTATTGTGACAAAAATGACCTTGCTTTTAGCTTCAGTTGGCACTGAAATAAACTAAGTTGAGGTAGTTTGAGGTTTTACACCTGCAGGTGTATATCAGACATAACCACATGAATCCCCCTGTTTGCAATAAATTCATATATGTGTTTCACTTTTGAATTGAATTACTGAAAGAAATTAATGGTTTATGAATATTCTAGTTCATTGGGTTTCACGGAAACACTTTATTTGATGGGTGTGCATAAGACTGACATTTATTTACCCATTAAAGTGACATTGTTTACAGAATTATGCAAAGTTGGCACTTTTAATGGACTTTCAATGCAACTTTTAGAGCAACTTTGCATTAAAGTGTCATTATTCACCCACTGACATTTCATGACAACATTCAAACATTCATTAAAGACTCCTTTATGTTTATGACAGCCTTATACACACCCGTCAAATAAAGTGTAACCAGTTTCACTTCATTCTATAGAAATCAAACAGTCGAATCAACAAGTACAGAGAAGTAAAAGGAAAATCATAAATTATACATTTCTTGTTGTGTTTTCAGGCTTTGAATGTATTCATTTGTTTGCTTTCTCTGATTAAATAAGTTCTGTATTCTGGAACCACCAACCCTTTTTGCGTGAGCTGTGAAGTGTGTGAGGTTTGACTTGTCAGGAGGAAGTCAACAAACTAAGGGTGTTTCAAGTTACCAAACTGATGTAATTCTACAAGCTTGAAACTGCTGCACAGTTTAACTTTGGGCAGCCCAAGCAGGTTTTCTCTGCATGTTTTCAGATCATACTGAAACGACCTTTGTGATAGTCATTGTGCCAGGTTGTTCATTTTATGTGTATCTTTCTTTGCTCTGTAACAAACTGGAATTCTTTCGACGTTGTGGCCTCCTGACCTGTGGCCCAGACTGCAGCCTCATCACTGCGCTGCACAGGAGAAACTCGGTTTAGAAAAGGCATTCACACAAACTGACTTGAACTGCCAATAAATATGTCAGCATTTTTGTTCATGCAATTTCTTTTTCATACAAATTGATGACTCAGGAAGTGGAGAAATATCCATTTCCATAGTAAAAATGAGTCAAGACAAAAAAGGTCAAAGTTACTTAACATGATACATAGGGAGATACATAGTTTTTTTTTCTTTTTCGTTTTACAAAAGATCTGCATCGACTGGCACATTTCTTTACTCATTCATTTAATCCGTCAACGTTTTATAAGGTTTAACACTGACTTCTGCAAACAGCCAGATGTTTATTCTGAGCAGCATTTCCTCAAAGTCTTTAAGGCTCAGTGAAAATGTTGATTTCAATATCAAATTATTTTTTTCTTTTTGAGACCTATTTTCAGTTTTGTTGTCTCATTCAGTGGAATGGGAGTAATTTTACGTGATTCGTAATTCACCACTGAACTGTGACTTCTTAACCCTCTCAGGATGAAATTACTTGCAAAGACTGGCTAAGTTGTTACAAATCTGCAACACCTGTCTGGGAGGGTTAAAACACCAAAAAAAAAAAAAAAAAAAAAAACGCCCAGCAAGAACAAAGAACCCATCTAGAATTAAAAAAGTAGTCCATTATCGATTTCAAGAAATTGATAATGGAGGCAAACCAGTTTTTTTCTTTAGACACATTTTTACAGTCAGCATTCTATAAAGACAACTTGTCCTTAGTTTTTTTGTTTGTTTTTTTCAAATTTACCTTCATACCACAATCTCTTCTCCCTCGACTTCCCTAAAACACTTGCAATCAGGATGTCAATAAATTTATTAGAGTTTTCATGTAGCCTATTCACTGTTATGTGCTGCAAATACTTCTACCAAATTATTTTCAGTGTAATTACATCCAGAGATGGGGTCAGTGCGACATCCACGCTGCTTCCTGGTGAACTTTGCATCATAAGGAGGGACTCCACCTGGAATGTGGGCTAAACTTTAGAGGTACAGTCATATGACTTCCAGTTGCATGAATGTGAGGGATAAAACCGAGCTGAAAATGCTCCCTGCTGGAGATGTCGGGTGTTTTTGTGGGCCGGATCTTGACCCTGCGGGAGCCGACGCTTGGCCCACTTCAGCGCTGATCCCCGCGGATAAGAAGACGGGAGTAAAATTTCCCGGGATGACGGCAAACTTCAGTGCGTGATCGCGAAATCTACATACATGCATGGAGGAAGATTTGCGCTTGACGGGAAGCCGCCACTGAGGTAAGGGAAGATCCGGGCAGCATGAGCCGACAGCAGGCAGAGATCCCCCATCGGAGGAGAGTCGCAGCGGTGAGCGCCGCCGCTCTGTCCGCCTCACGGCTCACCTTACCCGGGGTCATGGACGCAGAGGGGAGGGTCGACGAGTCCAGACTGAGGAGGCACATCTTCAAGAACGGTAGGTCACTGTAAGTGTTGATAGCATGGATGAAAGCTGGAAATAAAATATATTGTAAGTTTAGGTCAACGTTGAAAAGTAATTAATTTTTTTCAATAATAATAATGTATTTCCAGGATGAATATAATTCTCATACCGTTTTTAAATCTGATTTTACGCTATGAGGTTTATGGTGACCCACTGGTTTTTAAATAAAAGCCAGTCTTTGTTACAGTGCAGCTGCACCAACAACACTTTCTCACACAGATAAAAACCCTGAGAGGTCAAACATGTGAGCTCAAAACTCAACTACAGTATCTTTTCTTGTCCTCAACATCCTTATCAACAATTTCATATTGTGCCAGTGCTTTTGACTTGAGGTTTGGTTACTGGTATAGGAAGCTATAAAAATAACAAAAAAAGAAAAGAAATTGCTGGACCTGTGTATGGATGCCGAATGATTTTGATTCAATATCTGTAGTTATTGTCTAAAACAAATAAACTTCTGAAACCCCTGGGATTAGCATCCAGAGGTTTTCTGGTTAAATGGTTAAACCGTTTTTATATGATTTATATTATTTTTATAATTTTTATGGCTTCTCTCCTGTCAGGAGAAAACACCAGGTTCATTAGATTGTGTTTATTTGTGTTTATTAAAAGTTAATCAATTGTTACGACCTGGTGAAAACATGTTTCCTACTTTATTCAGTGGGTCATAGAATCCAAGAGGATAATGTATTTTGTTGCTGATAACTGTTTTAACAATAGACGTCTAAGCATATACTGTTAATTATATTCATACAGCATTCATATTTGACTCTGTTTTTTTCACCGCTTAAAATTCAAAAAACATGTGCAGGTCTGCAAAGGTTAAGAGACCATATTTTTTACAGACTCCGATTTGTTGTCGTTTTGAGAGAAATTAGCGTATTTTATTGATTTATTCTTAACCCTCTCCAGGCAGGTGTTGCAGATTTGCAACAACTTTTTCAGTCTTTTGCAAGTATTTTGAGCCTAAGAGGGTTAAATCCATTGACAACTTTCTTCAGAAATTCTTACAGTAAAAGATGCAAATTATAGGCCTGATTTTCCACATCACTGTCAGGTTCACATAATCGAACTAATAAGTAGAAGGATGCATTCTTACACTGAATCCAAAGACATGAATAGAATATATGTAATGAAAGTAGAGATGCTTTACAGATGAATGTGCAGTCTGGAGAATTCAACAAATATTATCTGTTGAGATGCACTGTGACCCTTTGATCCGACACCAGGAAGTCAAGTGATGCTTTGCTTCAGGCATTTTTGTTTGAGTCACAATCAAACCATTCTCCTAATAAATCTGAGATTTCTTTGTACGTACATCAGATTCCCCTGGGGGCACTGCGTGACCACAGTGATGAAATGATAGAATTTATTTATATTCATTAAGGAATGACTGATTTAAGAGAACAGAAATCTCAATAGTTAATGTATGGGAGTTAAACACACAACAAAACCTGTGGATGCAGCAGAGTAAGTTGGACCTGAACTCATTAAAAGAAGCAGGCGGCAGACATCAGACGTTACCAAAGAGGCTGTGGGGATGCCACATCACATGTCTGTTAGCAGGAATGTTACAGCTTACCCTGTTTCTGAGGCCTCACTGAACTCCAGCTCTGCCTAAAGATAACCAAAACAAGATCCAATTTTCTACTTTCTTGGATCAATTATTTAACTTTTTTTTTAGTTGGTGTATGATTCCCCCCAACCCCCCAAGAACAAGAACAGGACACGTGACACTTTCTGCTTTCCCTCACATATCCATTTTACAAGGATTTTTATTGGCGAGCCAGACATATTCGACTGTGCCAACCCTTTGTGCTGGCCTGTGAAATGCATTTCCTTCCTGAATTACATTCAAGGAGTGCAAATGATTCACACGCTGCACTTTGAACACACCTTCCTTAACGTTTTGTTTACATTTGTCAACTGAAGAGTTGTACTTCTCACATCCTCTCATTAGATGCGTTCAACTCTCTTTTATTGATCTAGGTGGTGTGTCTCCATCAGAGCGAGGCCTGGCTTGGCGTTTCCTGTTTGGCATGTACCCCATGCAGCTCCACTGCACTGGAGCGGTCTTTGCTGCGGGAGCAATTGCTGGTACGTTACCAGGTCATGAAAAGGAGGTGGCAGCAGTTTCTCCCCTCAGCGGTGCGAATGCAGCTCAACGGTACTGATGGTAAGGTCCAAACATGCACAAACTCTGATACTAATGGGAAGCAGAGGACTTTTCTTTCTGCTCTGACCCCTTTCTCACCTACCTCACCTCCACCATGTTTTCCCTTCTGTCCCCTAAACACTTGTGCTGAGCAGCCGAGTTGCTTGCAGCGGTTCGGTACTTTGACCAGAGGGAGGCACAAACCCAGCAGCAGGACCAGGATCAGTCTGAGGAGGTGAAGGACAGGCTGGCATTCTTGGAGCTTCAAGCTCAGGTTGACATAGTCATTGTTTGTATGTATAAATGTCTTACATGTGTTGGTGTAGATTAACCCTCACGATTTAATAGTTCAGCTCTTTTAACCTGGGTGTGGTGAAGTCGATCTGTTTAGGAAAGCGACCAAACAGGATCTAATTATGTTAAACAAACATAATCAGATGTTTATTTAACATAATTTATCTACTCAGATATTATTTGACATCTCCTAAACCCTGACGGTGAGCTCATGTTGTATCATGTCGTCTCATTCCAACAGCTTACTGTCTTCAGCCCTGTTTTTTTTTTTTTTACATAAAAAGAAAGTTTATAGAAAAGAACATAATTTTATTCAAACATAACAAGCTGAAATCAATTCAAGTGTTGTTCATATAAATGGAAGATAAAAAATTACAGAAATTAACCTTCTATCCTTACAGCCAGTGAATCATGTTTTATCTAAGATAAGGATTTTGCTGCTGTGCTTTGCAACCAAAGCAGCTCCAAATCAGTTGAGCGCAGCATCAATTAAAGAGTGTTGAAAACTGTCAAATTTAATGCAATAAAAATACCTGAATAAGTTTTTTTTTTTAACTGAATGTCGTCACAAGCCAAACATGTTTGAGACAAAAGGAGACTTACAGCTGCAACTGCAGGAAAAAAGGATTCTGCACAGTATTGAATTGAAAAGCATGTCATATGTTTAGACTTTTATTTTGAAAATGTTAAGATGTGTGCAATTCCTTGGCATTTATCCACTACTGCAGTGTGCAGTAAAAAGAAAAACCCAAAGAGACTAATTATCAAAAACACCTTGGCACATTAAAGTTTTTTCAAAGCACAGTAAGACAACTTTTTATTAACATAGTTTTTACATTTACTTTTTAACAGATACTGTTGAGCGCATCACGTTTGACCTGGAGGAGCTGCGGGAAGCCGCACGAATCATTGACAAGGATGTTCCCCGCACAAACAGAGACCTGAGCTACTACCAGTGAGTTTTTTTTCTGTAGTTATTGTTCCTGTCTTTACCAAATCCTGCGTTTTTGTGAATCTGCCGAGTCACTTTTGGATGAGGTGGAGGTAGAAATGCCACAAAGATAAAGGCACACCACTGCCATTTTATGTACAAATGTGCTGTTTTTTTCCTCCACTCATGGTTTGGTGGTAGATTTGGTGACAGTAAACATTTGACACAAGTTCATGTCTCACTTGAACAAGGTGTGTCTTGTTTGAGATTAGTCATGCATCCTCAATTTACTCTCCAAGAACTCATTTGAGTTCAAGTGAGTGTTGATGCAATTTATTCGTCTATCCAGTGCACCCACAAAAATACATGACAGATACTGTCAAAAATCGGGACTCGTCACACTTTTGTGTGTGTCCAGAACTCTGATTACAGTTCATTTGGATGTTATTGTTATTGAATTTGATATTTTCTGTCATTATTTGGTGTGTTTGGGTTTTTATAATTTCTTTGTGCAGTACATATTCTCGGTCTGGTCAGATTCCTTTCACATCAGGTCTGTATTCAGGTCTCGATATTTCTCATTCTCATCATTTTTGTTTTAAAGGTCTTGCCGTCTGTCTGTTTACCTTTTCTCCCAGTTGCACTTTGTAATCAACCACCTGCCTCTGGTCACACTCCTCTGTATTTACACTGTGGGATTGTCTTTGCCCTCTGCTGAGCTCATGATAGGAGCTACTTCTCAGTGCAACGCTGGTAAAAACGTTGCTAAGGATTAACAAAGGAGCCATGTTGTGATGACTTCCTGAGTTTCAGAAAGAACAAGAGCTTCTTAAAAAGACAAAGGCCCAATTTCAAGGTGTTAAATTAACAATGTCAAATTGTCATATTTGATACATGTAGCATTTTTATTCTTGTTCTTGCTGTTTTATAGAGTTACCAGTTGAAAAATGTTCCTAAACTTTCATTTGTATTCCACAGGATGATGGCAATGACAACAAGTTAGATGTTTCTTTTTCCACTTAAATGCGAGCACAAAGGGCACAGATTACATACAGTCTGCAGAATTGTGGCATTGCCTTTGAATTTTCATTATTTCCTAATCATTTTAAAGTTTTGTAAAATTAAGATTTAAGAAAATTACATTTTTTTTCTCAGGAAAGTCTGGATTTTACTATGTAAATATTTTTTTAAAAAATCTATTTCTGCCTGACTTCTCTCCCAGTCCTTTATGCAGAATATGATTCCCGCAGCTGGAATCCTAATGCTAATGTGTTTGTTTCTTCTTCATACTACTATTACATTACCTCATTACCTCAGCTGCCTTTTACCTGTTTGTTCCCTGAAACATATCATCCCAAATTTCTTAGTTTAAATCAGGTGCTGGACTTATGTGTAGTTTAAAACATGCCCTACATTACAATAAAAATACTTAATATGATGTATGATTCTTTTAAAGGAGTGTTTGCATTCTTCTCCAAACCAATGGTTATAAATAAAAAGATTGTGGGGAAAAGATGTGGGCAAGATGTCATGAATAACAACAACCAAAAAATAATAATACTAAAAACATTTCTTTTTCAATTTCAGGCGAAGTGTATATAGTTTGTGTCTAATAATACTGAGACATTGGAAACTTTACAGATCTTTCACAAATCACTTGTTATTGTCTGCAGAGAGGAAGGTTTAGGGAATCTGTTGGTCCTGAGAGACATCCTCATCACTTATGCTGCTTTTCATCCAGGTAATCAGACCAAATCAGCCCAAACCAAGGTTTATTTTTCCTCTGATAACTTTCGGTCTCGTTGTTGTTATGACAGAAGTTAGCTACGCCCAGGGAATGAATGACCTGTGCAGCAGGTTCCTGGAGGTCCTTGACTCCGAGGTGGACACCTTCTGGAGTTTTTCCTCCTACATGGAGAAGTTCTCCAGGGATTTCATGGCTGACGGCTTACACAGAAAAATAGGTGAGATTAACAGTCAGAAAAAGCAATTTTGTTTGTAGCAAATGTCACAGCATCAGCATAATTAGTTTGCTTCGTGCAGTATTTCTTTCTCTTTGACATAACTTTTTTTTGCTTAGATGTTATTGATTAAGACTCTTTTTTTATGTTGACTTAGACTGTGCTAATCTTATTTAAGATTTTAATTATGATAAATCACCTTTGCATTATTCTATCAGATTCAACACAACCTAATAAAATTATTTAAGCAGGTAAATATGTGTTTATTTCAAAACCTTAATTCGAAAGGTCTGCTTAAATGTAAATGGTTGGCTTGGAAGAGAGTCACTTTTTTTTCTTCAAGATTCAAATGTTTTCTTTTGACAAGTTAGTTAAGAAAAATAACCAGAACTTCCAAATTATTTGGAATCATGACACACACAAAAAAACTTCAATAAATCCTTTGTGGGCCATCATTCTGATATTTTAAAGAAATATACTTTGCACTTCTTGGAAAATATAAATCATAGAAAGCTTTATTTGAATTATCGGTTTTTCTATGGCCTTGCTCCTCCATCTGAGAACTATAAGAGGAGACACCAGAGGACAATCTCTCCAAAATATTTGGACTCTCTCTCTAAGTCCTGGGAATTTATAAACCACTCACTGTCAGGCATCAGCAGCACTTCTTAAATGAATGCTGCCAAGACCGAGCACTGAAAATATCAGGTAATCAGAATCCTTTTAGAAAAATCTAATTTCCACCTTTGTTTCACAAAACAAAAATGATTTTAAATAATGTGCTAATAGTTTATACCAGGTTAATTAATGCATGATCATATAATTTTACTTTCATATTGGGCTCTTATTTTCACATAATGGAGCTACACATAATATAAAAATGAATTCATGAAACCTGCATGTGTCCAAGATCTTGTGACTATGTTTTGTTCCCAATTTCAACTGCAAAATACATTTGAGACCTCTAGTGGTTAAACACAGTAAATGACATTTTCCAGCTCAGAAATTGTGTTTGTTTTGGGGGAAACATTAGAACATTTATTGTCTGCCATTGCCAAACAGAAAAGTTTCTGAATGGTAGGATGTTGATCTGAAAGTTCAAATCAGTCTTTTGTTTTGAATGAGTTTGACTTGAGCTGGAAATGTTTACTTACTGTATTCCAGAGCTGGAGGCTGCTTTGTTGAAGGAGCTGGACCCTCCACTTTATGCTCATCTAGTCAAAGACAACATGGAAAGTTTTACATTTTGCCACAGGTAGAGCATCTGTAGCATATTGCACACTTTGTTTTAATGACTTTGTTGTTTTATTTCAACGTGAAAGCGTATCTTTAAGTCTTTGGTTTATATTCTTTGTGTTAAGGTGGCTGCTGCTGGGTTTTCAAAGAGAATTTGAGCACAGTGATGCACTGGTTTGTTTGAAATCTTGAGCTGTGACCATCTGGAGCTGATCTCACAGCAGGTTGACCGCGCTCGATATCAGGAGAGACTGGACCAAAAACACTACACAGGTGAAACGCAGATAAAAGCAGAGTAATTGCACTTAGACTTCTCCGGTAAAACACCTAACATTGCTGTATCTTCATCTTACGATGTTTCCAGGGGACAGATCAGAGTCACCACAGCAAACCTTCAACACAGACTTCACGTTTGAGCTCTTCATCTGTGCAGCCATCCTGCTAGATAACAGAGAGTCTCTGCTTCGGTGCCGAGATGACGTGCAGCTAATCCAGTTTACAGCAGGTTCGATCCTGTAGCTCCTAGAGGACACATTTGGATATGTTTGTCTTTTCAATGTATTAAAAACACTTTCTTTTCTGCAGTCTTCAGGAAAACTGGACCTGAACAGCACTTTGGAGAAAGCAGAGAGCCATTTCTACAACTACTGCAAGCGGTGTGCATGGGATTATATGAATGGGCACTGCCGAGAAAACAGTAGCAAACCCGACTTCTTTTATCAACTCCGTAGTTTGTTTGTCCTAAAGTGACAACTTTCTCAGTTGCTATAAAATCACAGTTTTCTTCTGTCTGACATTTTCCTACTGGACATATTGTTTGATTTACTTCACCTTGAAACCCCCCCCCCCCTTGTTTAAAGCTGCTTAATTGCTTATAATTACTATTAATGTATAGTATTTATTGAAAGTTATTCTACAACTGTTGTAAGTTATTGTGTTTACAAATGTTAACAGCATTAAAAACTGAGTCTGAGCTTAATGGTTTTATGATTCTTGCATGTGAATTTTCACTTTATAAAATAGGGGTATGCTGTTATGCAACAGTCCCACATCAGCAATGCGTTTGATGTGCTCTGTACCAACAGCTGCTGTCTGAAAAAAAAAAAAAAAAAAAAAAAGTAGCTATATTTAAAGCCAGATGGTGAATGTGTTGGAGAGGCCAGTGCAGCGAGAATAGACCATGTAGTAACAGGAAAGTGAAATACACACCCACTGCGCCTTACAGAGGGAGTCTTGCAGAGTACTTGCACTCCTCGAACTTTTCCGCATTTTGTCACGTTGCAACCTTGATGTGTTTTAGTTTGGTTTCTTTTACTAGAGGCCAACACAAAGTCAAGTCAACAAAATATAACTAGCTGCAAACAAAAATTTAAGAGTCACAATTGTGAGTATTCAGTCCTTTTCACAAGCAAATGTGTATTATAACTACTCCTCAATTAAAAACAAAACAGATTGAGTGTACTTTAAGTATATAACTGCTGATCCTATAAAGCCTCAATTATTTGTTGATGAACTTTAGTGAACAAGCAACTCTATGAAGACAAAGGAATGAATCAGACAGAGCAGGTTGTGGCAAAATTTATTGGATAATCTCATCCAGCTACAGGTGCCCAAAATCCTAACACATGAATCTTTCTGCAAATATTCTGGTGGAGGAGTCATGCTGTGGGGTTAAAAACAGGGCGATTCTAGAGGAAAACATGTTTGAGACTGCAAACCACATGAGGCCATGGTGGAGGTTCATTTTTAGCAGGACAATGAGACAAAACCGAGATCCATGTTTACAAAAAATGTTTTACATGAAACCATATTACTCAATGGCTTAGTAAAAGAGAAAACTTTAATTTGCAATGCTGTGTATCATTCACTTAATGGCTTGCACGTTGCAATAAGGCATGTGAATAACGTTAGTCTTCTTGAGAAATGCTTCTTTTTAATATTTCCTATATTGTCGTCTAACAGTTAAGTCATTGCAACTTTTCAAAGTTCCACATATTTACCTCTTCCCTGTTTTAATTTTGTTTAGTTAGAAAATTAGTGCCGATATAATAGCCAGCTTTCATTCAAGGAAATCTTGCCAGTGAGCAGAAACACAGGTCTAGAACTTTCCTTGGTGGAGTCACCTGACACCTCCAGTGGGCTCTGCCTGCACCAGGCCTAATAAAAACAGGAGGGACAGGACACTCATCCGCTGCCCGCCAGGAGAAGAAGGGAGTGCTGCAGAGGAGCGCAGACAGTGGTGTTTAAAAAAAGGCATCACTTTAATTCAGAAAACTATCACTTCCCGAGCATCTAACTTCACAAGGTAACTGAATATACAGGAAGCATCGCTCTTCTGGCCTCGCTTTATAATCTTATCTGTTTGGAAAGTCTGCATACAATGTAAGAGGTACTGACATGTTTGAGGTTTGTATGGGCTCTATCAAATGATGACATGACACATGAAACCAAAATCAATGCAGTAAAACTGCAAAGCTGTTCAACCAAAGTCTGAGTAATTTTCATGGCTAAGTGATTTTGTCTGTGGTGTGTGTAAGCCATTATGTCAGCACTTTTTTCTTTCCCGTGTTGCTCTGTTTCTAAGTCAATAAAAGTTTTTCTTTTTTTTTTTTTTTTTACAAAAGGAAGGTGTCAGGCCTGACAGTAAGTCAATTGGAGCTGCTTTTCCACTGAAACATTGTGACATTTTCCTGTTCTAAAAATGGTTCTCAGTTGGGCGAGTGCAGCTCCCAAGAGCTTCTGCCTCTCAGGGGCTTCGTTAGATTTCTTCTCTAATCAATTATCTGTCTTTGCAACAAAGCCACAATTTTCTTTATAGCTGATCTACAGCTGACCTGAGTCAGGCCTTTGCTGTGGCAGGTTGAAATGTGTGACTACATCACTGCCTGTTTTTAAATTACTAATTAATTTCTTCACCCTAGCCTTTGACACTACTTGACATATTGATTTGAGTTTCTACTTATTCTATAAGCCTTTTATGCATGGCTGGTAATATTTTAAACATACTTTCTATTTTTGTATTCTATATTTGTGTCTTTATTTTTTGGCATTTTAAGATTTAATTTTTTTTAATGTATCCTGTTCAGCAATTTGGTTCTTCTGGAGATTTAAAGTTCTTTCTTAATAAAGCTAGTGAAAATTGACTAGATTGGATATAAGACCTTTAGCAAGCCTGTAAAATTACATTTGAAAGACATTTAGTTTCTTGTGGATGCACAGAGTTCTAAGTGATATTACAACAAGTTATGAGGCTTAAGCAGAAAGACATATGAAGACATTGGTGATAAACACCGTTTGCTCTGATTTGAGATTGAACTGCAAATGTAAATGTGCTGAGACACTAAAAGTCTTTTGTTTGTCTTTTGAAGATGTCTAAAGGACCAGCAGTAGGCATTGATCTGGGTACCACTTATTCATGTGTGGGTATCTTCCAGCATGGCAAAGTGGAGATCATTGCCAATGACCAAGGGAACAGAACCACACCAAGTTATGTGGCCTTCACAGACACAGAGAGGCTCATTGGAGATGCTGCCAAGAATCAGGTGGCCATGAATCCAGCCAACACCGTATTTGGTAAAAACACTGCCAGACTGCACTGTCAGCAACAACAAAACAAAATAGGATTTCACTTCTTCTTCTTCTGTTTCATTTCAAATTTTTTTAACCATCAATTCACATTAAAATGCAAAATCTATGTACACACAGTGAAACTTTCTTTTCATTGTCGCTGAATTCACGACAGATGCTAAGCGTCTGATTGGTCGCAAGTTTGATGACGCTGTGGTGCAATCGGACATGAAACACTGGCCCTTCAAGGTTATAAATGATTCCTCAAAACCAAAGATGGAGGTTGAATATAAGGGGAGATCAAGTCTTTCTACCCTGAGGAAATTTCCTCCATGGTTCTCACCAAAATGAAAGAGATTTCTGAAGCTTATCTTGGCAAGGTACGCTGCTTGGACTGCTCTTACCACAGAACAATCCATTTCCAGCACCAAGACTTATAATGAGACATGTATTTTCATTAACTGAAATTATTTCCATCATTTCAGCCTGTGAACAATGCAGTTATCACAGTTCCTGCTTACTTCAATGATTCCCAGCGTCAAGCCACCAAAGATGCTGGTACCATCTCTGGCCTCAATGTGCTTCGCATTATCAATGAACCCACAGCCGCAGCCATTGCATATGGCTTGGACAAAAAGGTCATCATCAGTCTGATGGCTAAAATTATAACTTCTTGCTTTTATGTTGCTTTTACCATTTTCTTCTATTTATTTTAGGTTGGAGGTGAGCGCAATGTTCTCATATTTGACCTCGGTGGCGGTACTTTTGACGTGTCAGTCTTAACAATTGAGGATGGCATCTTTGAGGTTAAGGCCACAGCAGGGGACACCCACTTGGGTGGGGAGGACTTTGACAACCGCATGGTCAACCACTTTATTGCCGAGTTCAAGCGCAAGTTCAAAAAGGACATCATCAACAACAAGCGGGCCGTACGCCGTCTGCGTACAGCTTGTGAGCGGGCTAAGCGTACCCTCTCCAGCAGCACCCAGGCCAGCATTGAGATCGACTCACTCTACGAGGGAACAGACTTCTACACTTCCATCACCAGGGCTCGCTTTGAAGAACTCAACGCGGACCTGTTCCGAGGAACTCTCGAACCTGTGGAGAAGGCCTTGCGGGACGCCAAGATGGATAAAAGCCAGATCCATGATATTGTCCTAGTGGGCGGCTCCACGCGTATTCCGAAGATCCAAAAGCTTTTGCAGGACTTCTTTAACGGCCGTGACTTGAACAAGAGCATCAACCCAGATGAGGCAGTTGCGTATGGGGCGGGTAAGTCTCCACAGAATTTACTCCTGTCTGCCTAGAAAAAGGTGAAAAAAAAAAACTATCCTGTAATAAGGATGTCATTATTTGGAAACCCACAGCTGTACAGGCTGCCATCCTGGCTGGTGATAAGTCTGAAATGTGCAGGACCTGCTCCTGCTGGACGTCACACCCCTGTCCCTGGGAATTGAAACGGCTGGAGGAGTGATGACGGTCCTTATCAAAAGGAACACAACTATTCCAACTAAACAAACCCAAACCTTCACCACCTACTCAGATAACCAACCCGGTGTCCTCATTCAGGTAGCACAATCTGCAAATAAGGTTCACACCTCTTGCTATTGGGTGACTTAAAATAAGGGTTTTAAAATCATTCAATTATAAATATGAAACTAAATATTTAATTAGCAAGTGTTAAGAATTAAAAAGAGGAATAACTTGATTTAGCTCATTAATTCATTCCTCTTTTTCCCAAATTCTTGTGTTTCAATTATGGGCAGTGAGAAAGAGCAATCATACGACGTCAGACTTCAGATATCCAGAGTTTTATCCAGAGAAATCAATGCAAAAAGAATGTTACAATAAGTCCAAGACATGACAAAACAGAAACAATTAACCGAGTAAAAAGGGAAATAAAAACACAAACAAAAGATGCATCTTTTGGGAAACTCTCACTCAGCACAAAGAGATTCAGACTTCTGCTGTAAAACAAAGCATTTTATAAGAATGTGTATTCCCTTCATTTAAATATATGCATTAGGAGGTGTCTTTCTCCTTTGTGAGGGATGTCTTAAATGTTAATTTTATTACCTCTGAGACCTACTGAAACACCCAGATCTTCTCGTACCAGCCTCCTTTAGGCAATCTGATTTATAGCGTGGGTCTGGAATGTTATCTCTGCCTCAAAATGATTCAACAAGAAACCAATTGGTGTTTTTAAACAAACTTGCACAAAATCTATTGCTTAATACTAACTATAAGTTTGAATCTAAAACTAACTAATTAAACACATGCTTTTTAATGCTTAAAGAAATATATTAATATGTTTGATTATATGTTGTAACGGACTTCTATAGTTTTTAATGTTTGTCTGAACTCTTCAACCCTGAGTAAAGAATTTATTGCCCTAAAATGCAATAAATTGGGAGGAAGGTTAAGGAGGTTAAGGCCACAGCCTTAACCTCCCTCCCAATTACCTTAACCTTAACCTCTGGGGCCTTAACCAGCAGAGGTCAAGGCCCCTGTCTGAAATGCTCCTTAGGGAGTATAAGACTGCTTTCTGATTAGAAATGTATGTAAGTTCAGAGAGTCACCAGTTGTCTTAGTTTGGAGTTGTATCTAAGTTTATCTTAACGTAAAAGTTAGCCTGTGTACTATTGTGCTAATTTAAAATTCTATTTCAACACAAGCTAAATATTGTTTTGCTGTGTCATGTTGCCAATTAAATATTTATCTCCAATTTGAATATTCAGTTTTAGAATGTAAAACTATTAGCGGCAACCTATATATTTGGAAATAACATGGTGGAAATATAAATTAATATAAATGAAGCTCCAATGTTTTTCATTTATGACATATAAGTAACCCAAATTATTGATTATTATTTTACAGTTTTGACTGTGTAACTTTACAAATGGTACCCCACAGTACTATGAAAAGTTATTTACCTCCCCTCACAACTTTCTGCTGTTTCTGCCTTTTTCTCTGCATCAGATCAGGCAAATGGGTAAATAAATCCATGTTTCAACCGGTGAGTTTATTAAAAAGGGAAATAAAAAACCTATCCAAACCCACCCAGCCCTCTGTCAAAAGTAAGAGTTGAATTAGGTAATTAAATTATTAACTATATTAAAAATATAGTTGTATACTTACATGTAGTAAAAAATAATCCAAACCACACCAGGAACTCGACCTATGAATCGACTGAAATAGATTTTAGTGTCAAGTGAAAGCCCAGAGTCCAGCCCAATTGAAATGATGAAGCTTGACCCCCAAAACTGCATTATGAATTCATTTGTGTTAACTTTGATACTAAAATTACTTTATTTGAAGAACTCTAGGGTGGAAAAACAGCAAGAACAGGATGAATCTGTAAGAAGATAAACACGTTTTTAATTGCACTGTGCCTCAGGGTTGAACGTGTTCACTGATCCAATAAACATCAATGCCTTGTTTTAGGTTTACGAAGGGAAAGAGCCATGACCAAAGATAATATCTTGGGGAAATTTGAATTGACTGGTATTCCGCCTGCTCCCAGGGAGTCCCTCAGATCGAAGTGACCTTTGACATTGATGCCAACGGCATTCTCAATGTGTCTGCAGTGGACAAAAGCACCGGAAAGGAGAACAAGATCACCATCACTAATGACAAAGGTTGGAGCACATATTACAGGGCAAAGATTGTTCATCAGAGAAGGTTTTAAAGTGACTGACGCAAGCTTTATGTTTCATTCTTCCTCAGGTCGACTGAGCAAGGAAGACATTGAGCGCATGGTGCAAGAAGCAGAACAGTTCAGATCTGAAGATGAAGCCCAGAGAGACAAGATCACTGCCAAAAATTCTCTTGAGTCTCTGGCCTTCAACATGAAGAGCACAGTGGAGGACGAGAAGCTCCAAGAAAAGATCAGTCCTGAGGACAAAAAGACCATCACAGATAAGTGTAACGAAGTAATCGCCTGGCTGGACAGGAACCAGGTAAGATATCCGTAAATTAAAAATGCTTTCATCATTATCCGAGAACAAGAGCTTCATGTTTGAAAAAGTTGTGAAATCACAGATGTTTAGCAGAGAAACTGTGATAGACATTTTTCCAGTTCCTTATTGTGTTTTTACTTTTATAGCTCTTACACAACAATTATCTGCTTCTTTGTTTTTTTACATAGACAGCTGAGAAGGAAGAGTATGAGCACCAACAGAAAGAGCTGGAGAAAATTTGCAACCCAATAATCTCTAAGCTGTACCAGGGGGGAATGCCAGGAGGAATGCCAGGAGGAATGTCGGAGGAATGCCAGGAGGAATGTCGGGAGGAATGCCAGGAGGAATGCCAGGAGGAATGTCGGGAGGAATGCCAGGAGGAATGCCAGGAGGCTTCCCTGGCGGAGCCGGAGCTGGTTCTTCCTCTGGCCCAACCATTGAGGAAGTCGACTAATATGAGCAATAAGCACAACAGTTACTTATCTTAGCTTGATTACATGTACTGGCTGTTCAAACCATGCATTTTGTGGCAAATGGGCACACCATAAAAATTCAACTTATATTTGCTCTACAGCATTACTCTTAGTGTAATGAGCTATTGCTGAAATAGCAACAGGCTCCTTCTTGCCAGAAAGAGTCTGGGTCTCTGAATTTGTCCCTTTCAGACATAATTGCAAATCTTTATAGAGATGTTTTAGAGGCCAGCACAAATACGTTTGTACACACCTGTGAAGTAAATAGTAAAGTATGTATGGTTCTCAACACTTTTGGCAAATGTGAAGCAGACCCCTGAATTAAAGTTTGCCCAACCATATTTCAATGCAAGAGCTTTTTTGTGATATCACTATTCAAGCTTTGTAAATTCAGAGACATTTCAGATTTTTTCAGAAGAGCTCAAGCTTGGCTCCATTGGATGGACAGTCTTTGTAAACAACATATTCTAATTCTAATCAGAAGAAAATCACAATCACAATTAAATTTGACCTATTCCATTCAGACACATGTGCTTTCATTTAAACCGCTCCATTTTCAGCTCTTTATGTATGTTTCTGGTCATCGTCTTGCTGTAAAGTGACCTTCAACCCCAGTTTTAAATTTTACAGGAGTCCTTCCAACATTGCCTTGTATTTAAGAACACAATCCATCAACTCTGTCCACTTTCCAATCCCTACAAAGAAAAGCCTCCCGCTGCACAAACTTACCACCAGCATCACCATAAGGCAAAAGGTTGAATTTTTGGTCTGATGTGACCAGAGTACCTTCTACCACATATTGAACTTGTTGCAAATTGCACAGACAACTGAGAAAAAATGTTCACTTTTGAATAGTCAAACATTTCAGACAGTCATTCAGATGAGTTAAACAGTGAGACAAAACATGTTTAAAGCTGGTGGCATTTCTGCTGTCAAAGGCTAAACTCTTGCAATAAACATCTACGCATCTTTATCCCTGACTGTCTGCTGTGTTCATTGACCTTCATTATGCCGTTTGTGTTGTTAAACAAACCTCTGAGAAATTCATACAGCTGCATTTATACTAAGCTCAAATCACTTGGGTAGAGTGTGTTTTACTAATTAGTTTTCAGTGGATTTGGTTGAACCCCAGTCCAACCAATCTGCATGCCCACACTTTGCTTTTTTTCAGATTTTGATGTTGGAAAAAGATTAGGTATTTCCTCCTTCCTATTGACAATTGTGTGTCATTAAAGGCAAAACTGCAGTGAAATGAACTCAGGCTTGAGGTGTGTTCAGTCTTCAGCGTTTGATTGTATAAATCATTAAGGTTTACTTTAAATAACTCTCCAACATAGTAATAGGTTAATGACAAGGCATGCAATATTATATTACCAATCTGACAGACTCTTCCTTAAATATAACCACATTTTGATCAGCATAATTTTAATGTGTATCAACTTACCTCACAGGAAATGCAAGAAAAGGTGTTAAAAACAGCTCCTGAGTAGGAGAAGTAAGAGTTTATCAACATAATGTGTTGTCTGTTCTTCATGCATGCATCAAGCTTCACTTACTGAATCATTTTTAATAGCAACAGCAAAGGAAAACCATGTTGGTGCTTCTTCCAACTCAAATAATTTTTTTCTAATTCAAGTGTGACCTTAGATTTTTGAAGATGCTTATTGGCAGGTGGTGTTTGCTCATGCGGGGTCTGGTGAAACATTGATGCGGTTTGTACTAATGGCTGCCCACAAAAGTCAGGGTCATTCATGTTGGACGCAGCTATAAATGCTTGTGTAGCACAAAGTTACCAGATAGGGTAGACTTGTTGAGCCACAGTTATGTTCTTGCTTGTTAGTTGTTTTTTGCCCTGGTGGCTTCCACACTGGGTGAGTGTTCATTTCATGCTTTCATCTCCAGGCAAACCATAAAAATTGCAGTAAAAACATTGCCTAAGAATTATTGACATTTCACATTTTAATTGGATTGTGACTACATATGCACTGATTACACTGTAATGTAACTGAGCATAGCCATTGCAATTAGGAACAAGAAGATGTTGGATTTAATCTTTGGGCCTCAGGGTGTGGAGTGCCTACTATTAAGCCCAAGGTGAGTGGATACAACAAGATTATTAATGGCGAGAATGCAGTGTCCGGTTCCTGGCCCTGGCAAGTTTCTCTTCAGGTAGGTCGCTCAGTCTTCTGAAATTCTCCAGTTTCTGTTGAATCATGCAAAAACAAAAACCTCAGGCAAAGAAAATCTCTTGAAGAGACAGTGTTCCAAACTTAGGACAAAAGCGGGTTTCACTTCTGTGGGGGATCACTGATCAACAAGGACTGGGTTGTCACAGCTGCTCATTGCCAAGTGTGGTAAGTCGCTGCATGTGTCCCATTGAAAACATTTGAAAAGAGTTTACTAAAAGTAAATAATTAATAAGATGGCGTTTCATTTTGGTAGGCCGTCAGACCCACCGTGTGATCCTGGGTGAGCACGATAGGCTGTCCAACAGCGAGCCCATTCAGATCAGGACCATTTCTAAGGTAAGGACAATCATTCAAAAAAAAAAAAAAAAAATCTGTTTTCTAAAACATGAGCTTTTTATCTGTGTGACAGATATTTCAACTTTTTAAAAAATAATTTGACATTTCTTCACCTCTATGTACAGGTCATCACCCACCCTTCCTTCAACTCAAGAAACTTAACTTTGACATCCAACTTCTGAAGCTCTCCTCCCCAGCAGAGTTCAACTCCCGCGTGTCTCCAGTGTGCTTGGTCTCCTCCAGGAGCAGAATCCCCTCTGGAACCAAATGTGTCACCACTGGATGGGGCATGACAGCAACATCCTGTGAGTGAGCCTCTTTACATGTCTAATCAGGATTGTTTTACAAGCATCAAAGCTGGAAAATCTTATATTAAAAAAAGCCCTGTAATGGATTTGGAGTGGTTGTGTTTTTTTTTTTTTCTGTCTTCTCAGTCTTTGGTCGTATCCTGCAGCAGACCGCTCTGCCTGTGCTCAGCACTGCTCAGTGCAGAATTTTCTGGGGTGAAAGAATGATCACTGATGCCATGTTCTGTGCTGGTGGTTCTAAATTGACTTCCTGCAAGGTAATGTGCAATTCAATGGTTAAAAACATACAAGCTTAAAATGACTACTGAATAATATGTTTTCAAAATACATTTGTAATGTGTGAAATGTGACATTAAATATGCTCTTTTAAAAACTTTGTGAAAAATCCTCTTTAAATGTGAGTGTGATTGTGTATATCATCTGAGTCAGCAACTGTCCTATTGCTACATTTTTTCCTGTTTTGAAAATCAGCCTGCACAGAGCTCACAGAAGGCAGAACACAGATAGTGTATGAATGCAAGTTCATCCATCTTAAGTTAATCTTGCAAACTATTTGCCTTGTTTCAGGGTGACTCTGGTGGCCCACTGGTGTGTGAAAGCAAAGGTGTGTGGTCTCTTGTGGGTACTGTGTCTTGGGGCATCTTCGACTGCAATGTGTACAGCCCAGCAGTGTATGTCAACATGGCCTACGTGCGCAGCTGGATCGACCAGACCCTTGCTAAAAACTAATCAGAAAAACACTAATGGAAACATGTGTTTTCTCAAGAAATAAGCAATAAAATCTTGAAGACTTTGAAGACTTGCTTGTGTCATGTTCTTAAATAAGATGTGTATGCATGCATGGTGTGTGTTTGTGTGGCCTTGAATTTGATGCGTTGTAACGACCATTTTCCTAACTCATGCTACGTTGTGGGGACTGACTGGTTATGGATAAGGTTCAGGACTAAAGTGTGAATTGAGTTCACACTGGTTATGGTTAGATTTAGCATAAGTGTTAGAATAACCTACAAAAATGAATGAAAATGAATGGAGGCCACTGCAAAGTCCTTGTGAAAGTAGAAAAACGTGTATGTGCGTGGGTGCGTGTCTTTGCGTGTTCATGTGTGTGTATCTGTGTGCATATGTGCAATTTCAGAATATATTGACATGAGGTCAACAAAAACTTCTGATGGTAAAGGAAAAACCACAATGTCTTCAATTTAATTTAAGCTTTAAAGGTTTGAAAACATTTAGTTTTAAGATAAGTAAGTATAGAAATTTTTTTTTCACGGATCCAGAGATAAAAACAAAATATGCATAATGCTCTTAGCAGTAGATGTGTTTTTAGGAACTTGTGATCATTGGTAATGAAGTCAGCAAAAGCATTTGTAAAATTAGAATATGATCCAGATAAATCCAGTATACCAATAGTACCGTTGTTAAAGCTCCAACTACTTAAAACAAACACAGCGTAATCATTCCTGTTGCACAACACACATATGGTCTTTCAGATATGTTATCTGATGTGGTGACTCTGGTGACCCTCTGGTGTGCTTTCACACACCTAAAGCTTTGTGTGTCTCTCCAGTGAGTTTGAACGTCTCCATAAGTGTCAGTCAGTCGCCCATAGTAAGATCTACAACGACTAATGGGTACAATAAAGTTTTGATAAATATTGTTTTGCTGTGTCATGTTTGCCAATTAAATATTTATCTCCAATTTGAATATTTAGTTTAGAATGTAAAACTATTTAGCGGCAACCTATATATTTGGAAATAACATGGTGGAAATATAAATTAATATAAATGAAGCTCCAATGTTTTTCATTTATGACATATAAGTAACCCAAATTATTGATTATTATTTTACAGTTTTGACTGTGTAACTTTACAAATGGTACCCCACAGTACTAGGAAAAGTTATTTACCTCCCCTCACAACTTTCTGCTGTTTCTGCCTTTTTCTCTGCATCAGATCAGGCGAATGGGTAAATAAAATCCATGTTTCAACCGGTGAGTTTATTAAAAAGGGAAATAAAAAACCTATCCAAACCCACCCAGCCCTCTGTCAAAAGTAAGAGTTGAATTAGGTAATTAAATTATTAACTATATTAAAAATATAGTTGTATACTTACATGTAGTAAAAAATAATCCAAACCACACCAGGAACTCGACCTATGAATCGACTGAAATAGATTTTAGTGTCCAAGTGAAAGCCCAGAGTCCAGCCCAATTGAAATGATGAAGCTTGACCCCCAAAACTGCATTATGAATTCATTTGTGTTAACTTTGATACTAAAATTACTTTATTTGAAGAACTCTAGGGTGGAAAAACAGCAAGAACAGGATGAATCTGTAAGAAGATAAACACGTTTTTAATTGCACTGTGCCTCAGGGTTGAACGTGTTCACTGATCCTATAAACATCAATGCCTTGTTTTAGGTTTACGAAGGGGAAAGAGCCATGACCAAAGATAATATCTTGGGGAAATTTGAATTGACTGGTATTCCGCCTGCTCCCAGAGGAGTCCCTCAGATCGAAGTGACCTTTGACATTGATGCCAACGGCATTCTCAATGTGTCTGCAGTGGACAAAAGCACCGGAAAGGAGAACAAGATCACCATCACTAATGACAAAGGTTGGAGCACATATTACAGGGCAAAGATTGTTCATCAGAGAAGGTTTTAAAGTGACTGACGCAAGCTTTATGTTTCATTCTTCCTCAGGTCGACTGAGCAAGGAAGACATTGAGCGCATGGTGCAAGAAGCAGAACAGTTCAGATCTGAAGATGAAGCCCAGAGAGACAAGATCACTGCCAAAAATTCTCTTGAGTCTCTGGCCTTCAACATTAAGAGCACAGTGGAGGACGAGAAGCTCCAAGAAAAGATCAGTCCTGAGGACAAAAAGACCATCACAGATAAGTGTAACGAAGTAATCGCCTGGCTGGACAGGAACCAGGTAAGATATCCGTAAATTAAAAATGCTTTCATCATTATCCGAGAACAAGAGCTTCATGTTTGAAAAAGTTGTGAAATCACAGATGTTTAGCAGAGAAACTGTGATAGACATTTTTCCAGTTCCTTATTGTGTTTTTACTTTTATAGCTCTTACACAACAATTATCTGCTTCTTTGTTTTTTTACATAGACAGCTGAGAAGGAAGAGTATGAGCACCAACAGAAAGAGCTGGAGAAAATTTGCAACCCAATAATCTCTAAGCTGTACCAGGGGGGAATGCCAGGAGGAATGTCGGGAGGAATGCCAGGAGGAATGCCAGGAGGAATGCCAGGAGGAATGCCAGGAGGAATGCCAGGAGGAATGCCAGGAGTTCCCTGGCGGAGCCGGAGCTGGTTCTTCCTCTGGCCCAACCATTGAGGAAGTCGACTAAATATGAGCAATAAGCACAACAGTTACTTATCTTAGCTTGATTACATGTACTGGCTGTTCAAACCATGCATTTTGTGGCAAATGGGCACACCATAAAAATTCAACTTATATTTGCTCTACAGCATTACTCTTAGTGTAATGAGCTATTGCTGAAATAGCAACAGGCTCCTTCTTGCCAGAAAGAGTCTGGGTCTCTGAACTTTGTCCCTTTCAGACATAATTGCAAATCTTTATAGAGATGTTTTAGAGGCCAGCACAAATACGTTTGTACACACCTGTGAAGTAAATAGTAAAGTATGTATGGTTCTCAACACTTTTGGCAAATGTGAAGCAGACCCCTGAATTAAAGTTTGCCCAACCATATTTCAATGCAAGAGCTTTTTTGTGATATCACTATTCAAGCTTTGTAAATTCAGAGACATTTCAGATTTTTTTCAGAAGAGCTCAAGCTTGGCTCCATTGGATGGACAGTCTTTGTAAACAACATATTCTAATTCTAATCAGAAGAAAACCACAATCACAATTAAATTTGACCTATTCCATTCAGACACATGTCTTTCATTTAAACCGCTCCATTTTCAGCTCTGTATGTATGTTTCTGGTCATCGTCTTGCTGTAAAGTGACCTTCAACCCCAGTTTTAAATTTTACAGGAGTCCTTCCAACATTGCCTTGTATTTAAGAACACAATCCATCAACTCTGTCCACTTTCCAATCCCTACAAAGAAAAGCCTCCCCGCTGCACAACTTACCACCAGCATCACCATAAGGCAAAAGATTGAATTTTTGGTCTGATGTGACCAGAGTACCTTCTACCACATATTGAACTTGTTGCAAATTGCACAGACAACTGAGAAAAAATGTTCACTTTTGAATAGTCAAACATTTCAGACAGTCATTCAGATGAGTTAAACAGTGAGACAAAACATGTTTAAAGCTGGTGGCATTTCTGCTGTCAAAGGCTAAACTCTTGCAATAAACATCTACGCATCTTTATCCCTGACTGTCTGCTGTGTTCATTGACCTTCATTATGCCGTTTGTGTTGTTAAACAAACCTCTGAGAAATTCATACAGCTGCATTTATACTAAGCTCAAATCACTTGGGTAGAGTGTGTTTACTAATTAGTTTCAGTGGATTTGGTTGAACCCCAGTCCAACCAATCTGCATGCCACACTTTGCTTTTTTTCAGATTTTGATGTTGGAAGAAGATTAGGTATTTCCTCCTTCCTATTGACAATTGTGTGTCATTAAAGGCAAAACTGCAGTGAAATGAACTCAGGCTTGAGGTGTGTTCAGTCTTCAGCGTTTGATTGTATAAATCATTAAGGTTTACTTTAAATAACTCTCCAACATAGTAATAGGTTAATGACAAGGCATGCAATATGGCAACTATATTACCAATCTGACAGACTCTTCCTTAAATATAACCACATTTTGATCAGCATAATTTTAATGTGTATCAACTTACCTCACAGGAAATGCAAGAAAAGGTGTTAAACAGCTCCTGAGTAGGAGAAGTAAGAGTTTATCAACAGAATGTGTTGTCTGTTCTTCATGCATGCATCAAGCTTCACTTACTGAATCATTTTTAATAGCAACAGCAAAGGAAAACCATGTTGGTGCTTCTTCCAACTCAAATAATTTTTTTCTAATTCAAGTGTGACCTTAGATTTTTGAAGATGCTTATCGGCAGGTGGTGTTTGCTCATGCGGGGTCTGGTGAAACATTGATGCGGTTTGTACTAATGGCTGCCCACAAAAGTCAGGGTCATTCATGTTGGACGCAGCTATAAATGCTTGTGTAGCACAAAGTTACCAGATAAGGTAGACTTGTTGAGCCACAGTTATGTTCTTGCTTGTTAGTTGTTTTGCCCTGGTGGCTTCCACACTGGGTGAGTGTTCATTTCATGCTTTCATCTCCAGGCAAACCATAAAGAATTGCAGTAAAAACATTGCCTAAGAATTATTGACATTTCACATTTTAATTGGATTGTGACTACATATGCACTGATTACACTGTAATGTAACTGAGCATAGCCATTGCAATTAGGAACAAGAATGATGTTGGATTTAATCTTTGGGCCTCAGGGTGTGGAGTGCCTACTATTAAGCCCAAGGTGAGTGGATACAACAAGATTATTAATGGCGAGAATGCAGTGTCCGGTTCCTGGCCCTGGCAAGTTTCTTCAGGTAGGTCGCTCAGTCTTCTGAAATTCTCCAGTTCTGTTGAATCATGCAAAAACAAAAACCTCAGGCAAAGAAAATCTCTTGAAGAGACAGTGTTCCAAACTTAGGACAAAAGCGGGTTTCACTTCTGTGGGGATCACTGATCAACAAGGACTGGGTTGTCACAGCTGCTCATTGCCAAGTGTGGTAAGTCGCTGCATGTGTCCCATTGAAAACATTTGAAAAGAGTTTACTAAAAGTAAATAATTAATAAGATGGCGTTTCATTTTGGTAGGCCGTCAGACCACCGTGTGATCCTGGGTGAGCGATAGGCTGTCCAACAGCGAGCCCATTCAGATCAGGACCATTTCTAAGGTAAGGACAATCATTCAAAAAAAAAAAAAAAAAAATCTGTTTTCTAAAACATGAGCTTTTTATCTGTGTGACAGATATTTCAACTTTTTTAAAAAATAATTTGACATTTCTTCACCTCTATGTACAGGTCATCACCCACTTCCTTCAACTCAAAAACCATTAACTTTGACATCCAACTTCTGAAGCTCTCCTCCCCAGCAGAGTTCGACTCCCGCGTGTCTCCAGTGTGCTTGGTCTCCTCCAGGAGCAGAATCCCCTCTGGAACCAAATGTGTCACCACTGGATGGGGCATGACAGCATCATCCTGTGAGTGAGCCACTTTACATGTCTAATCAGGATTGTTTTACAAGCATCAAAGCTGGAAAATCTTATATTAAAAAAAGCCCTGTAATGGATTTGGAGTGGTTGTGTTTTTTTTTTTTCTGTCTTCTCAGTCTTTGGTCGTTTCCTGCAGCAGACCGCTCTGCCTGTGCTCAGCACTGCTCAGTGCAGAATTTTCTGGGGTGACAGTTCGATCACTGATGCCATGTTCTGTGCTGGTGGTTCTAAATTGACTTCCTGCATGGTAATGTGCAATTCAATGGTTAAAAACATACAAGCTTAAAATGACTACTGAATAATATGTTTTCAAAATACATTTGTAATGTGTGAAATGTGACATTAAATATGCTCTTTTAAAAACTTTGTGAAAAATCCTCTTTAAATGTGAGTGTGATTGTGTATATCATCTGAGTCACCAACTGTCCTATTGCTACATTTTTCCTGTTTTGAAAATCAGCCTGCACAGAGCTCACAGAAGGCAGAACACAGATAGTGTATGAATGCAAGTTCATCCATCTTAAGTTAATCTTGCAAACTATTTGACTTGTTTCAGGGTGACTCTGGTGGCCCACTGGTGTGTGAAAGCAAAGGTGTGTGGTCTCTTGTGGGTACTGTGTCTTGGGGCACCTTCGACTGCGATGTGTACAGCCCAGCAGTGTATGTCAACATGGCCTACGTGCGCAGCTGGATCGACCAGACCCTTGCTAAAAACTAATCAGAAAAACACTAATGGAAACATGTGTTTTCTCAAGAAATAAGCAATAAAATCTTGAAGACTTTGAAGAGTTGCTTGTGTCATGTTCTTAAATAAGATGTGTATGCATGCATGGTGTGTTTTTGTGGCCTTGAATTTGATGCGTTGTAACGACCATTTTCCTAACTCATGCTACGTTGTGGGGACTGACTGGTTATGGATAAGGTTCAGGACTAAAGTGTGAATTGAGTTCACACTGGTTATGGTTAGATTTAGCATAAGTGTTAGAATAACCTACAAAAATGAATGAAAATGAATGGAGGCCACTGCAAAGTCCTTGTGAAAGTAGAAAAACGTGTATGTGCGTGGGTGCGTGTGTCTTTGCGTGTTCATGTGTGTGTATCTGTGTGCATATGTGCAATTTCAGAATATATATTGACATGAGGTCAACAAAAACTTCTGATGGTAAAGGAAAAACCACAATGTCTTCAATTTAATTTAAGCTTTAAAGGTTTGAAAACATTTAGTTTTAAGATAAGTAAGTATAGAAATTTTTTTTTCACGGATCCAGAGATAAAAACAAATATGCATAATGCTCTTAGCAGTAGATGTGTTTTTTAGGAACTTGTGATCATTGGTAATGAAGTCAGCAAAAGCATTTGTAAAATTAGAATATGATCCAGATAAATCCAGTATACCAATAGTACCGTTGTTAAAGCTCCAACTACTTAAAATAAACACAGCGTAATCATTTCTGTTGCACAACACACATATGGTCTTTCAGATATGTTATCTGATGTGGTGACTCTGGTGACCCTCTGGTGTGCTTTCACACACCTAAAGCTTTGTGTCTCTCCAGTGAGTTTGAACGTCTCCATAAGTGTCAGTCAGTCGCCCATAGTAAGATCTACAACGACTAATGGGTACAATAAAGTTTTGATAAATATTGTTTTGCTGTGTCATGTTTGCCAATTAAATATTTATCTCCAATTTGAATATTTAGTTTAGAATGTAAAACTATTTAGCGGCAACCTATATATTTGGAAATAACATGGTGGAAATATAAATTAATATAAATGAAGCTCCAATGTTTTTCATTTATGACATATAAGTAACCCAAATTATTGATTATTATTTTACAGTTTTGACTGTGTAACTTTACAAATGGTACCCCACAGTACTATGAAAAGTTATTTACCTCCCCTCACAACTTTCTGCTGTTTCTGCCTTTTTCTCTGCATCAGATCAGGCGAATGGGTAAATAAAATCCATGTTTCAACCGGTGAGTTTATTAAAAAGGGAAATAAAAAACCTATCCAAACCCACCCAGCCCTCTGTCAAAAGTAAGAGTTGAATTAGGTAATTAAATTATTAACTATATTAAAAATATAGTTGTATACTTACATGTAGTAAAAAATAATCCAAACCACACCAGGAACTCGACCTATGAATCGACTGAAATAGATTTTAGTGTCCAAGTGAAAGCCCAGAGTCCAGCCCAATTGAAATGATGAAGCTTGACCCCCAAAACTGCATTATGAATTCATTTGTGTTAACTTTGATACTAAAATTACTTTATTTGAAGAACTCTAGGGTGGAAAACAGCAAGAACAGGATGAATCTGTAAGAAGATAAACACGTTTTTAATTGCACTGTGCCTCAGGGTTGAACGTGTTCACTGATCCAATAAACATCAATGCCTTGTTTTAGGTTTACGAAGGGGAAAGAGCCATGACCAAAGATAATAATATCTTGGGGAAATTTGAATTGACTGGTATTCCGCCTGCTCCCAGAGGAGTCCCTCAGATCGAAGTGACCTTTGACATTGATGCCAACGGCATTCTCAATGTGTCTGCAGTGGACAAAAGCACCGGAAAGGAGAACAAGATCACCATCACTAATGACAAAGGTTGGAGCACATATTACAGGGCAAAGATTGTTCATCAGAGAAGGTTTTAAAGTGACTGACGCAAGCTTTATGTTTCATTCTTCCTCAGGTCGACTGAGCAAGGAAGACATTGAGCGCATGGTGCAAGAAGCAGAACAGTTCAGATCTGAAGATGAAGCCCAGAGAGACAAGATCACTGCCAAAAATTCTCTTGAGTCTCTGGCCTTCAACATGAAGAGCACAGTGGAGGACGAGAAGCTCCAAGAAAAGATCAGTCCTGAGGACAAAAAGACCATCACAGATAAGTGTAACGAAGTAATCGCCTGGCTGGACAGGAACCAGGTAAGATATCCGTAAATTAAAAATGCTTTCATCATTATCCGAGAACAAGAGCTTCATGTTTGAAAAAGTTGTGAAATCACAGATGTTTAGCAGAGAAACTGTGATAGACATTTTTCCAGTTCCTTATTGTGTTTTTACTTTTATAGCTCTTACACAACAATTATCTGCTTCTTTGTTTTTTTACATAGACAGCTGAGAAGGAAGAGTATGAGCACCAACAGAAAGAGCTGGAGAAAATTTGCAACCCAATAATCTCTAAGCTGTACCAGGGGGGAATGCCAGGAGGAATGCCAGGAGGAATGTCGGGAGAATGCCTGGAGGAATGCCAGGAGGAATGCCAGGAGGAATGCCAGGAGGAATGCCAGGAGGCTTCCCTGGCGGAGCCGGAGCTGGTTCTTCCTCTGGCCCAACCATTGAGGAAGTCGACTAAATATGAGCAATAAGCACAACAGTTACTTATCTTAGCTTGATTACATGTACTGGCTGTTCAAACCATGCATTTTGTGGCAAATGGGCACACCATAAAAATTCAACTTATATTTGCTCTACAGCATTACTCTTAGTGTAATGAGCTATTGCTGAAATAGCAACAGGCTCCTTCTTGCCAGAAAGAGTCTGGGTCTCTGAACTTTGTCCCTTTCAGACATAATTGCAAATCTTTATAGAGATGTTTTAGAGGCCAGCACAAATACGTTTGTACACACCTGTGAAGTAAATAGTAAAGTATGTATGGTTCTCAACACTTTTGGCAAATGTGAAGCAGACCCCTGAATTAAAGTTTGCCCAACCATATTTCAATGCAAGAGCTTTTTTGTGATATCACTATTCAAGCTTTGTAAATTCAGAGACATTTCAGATTTTTTTCAGAAGAGCTCAAGCTTGGCTCCATTGGATGGACAGTCTTTGTAAACAACATATTCTAATTCTAATCAGAAGAAAATCACAATCACAATTAAATTTGACCTATTCCATTCAGACACATGTGCTTTCATTTGAACCGCTCCATTTTCAGCTCTGTATGTATGTTTCTGGTCATCGTCTTGCTGTAAAGTGACCTTCAACCCCAGTTTTAAATTTTACAGGAGTCCTTCCAACATTGCCTTGTATTTAAGAACACAATCCATCAACTCTGTCCACTTTCCAATCCCTACAAAGAAAAGCCTCCCCGCTGCACAAACTTACCACCAGCATCACCATAAGGCAAAAGGTTGAATTTTTGGTCTGATGTGACCAGAGTACCTTCTACCACATATTGAACTTGTTGCAAATTGCACAGACAACTGAGAAAAAATGTTCACTTTTGAATAGTCAAACATTTCAGACAGTCATTCAGATGAGTTAAACAGTGAGACAAAACATGTTTAAAGCTGGTGGCATTTCTGCTGTCAAGGCTAAACTCTTGCAATAAACATCTACGCATCTTTATCCCTGACTGTCTGCTGTGTTCATTGACCTTCATTATGCCGTTTGTGTTGTTAAACAAACTCTGAGAAATTCATACAGCTGCATTTATACTAAGCTCAAATCACTTGGGTAGAGTGTGTTTACTAATTAGTTTCAGTGGATTTGGTTGAACCCCAGTCCAACCAATCTGCATGCCACACTTTGCTTTTTTTCAGATTTTGATGTTGGAAAAAGATTAGGTATTTCCTCCTTCCTATTGACAATTGTGTGTCATTAAAGGCAAAACTGCAGTGAAATGAACTCAGGCTTGAGGTGTGTTCAGTCTTCAGCGTTTGATTGTATAAATCATTAAGGTTTACTTTAAATAACTCTCCAACATAGTAATAGGTTAATGACAAGGCATGCAATATGGCAACTATATTACCAATCTGACAGACTCTTCCTTAAATATAACCACATTTTGATCAGCATAATTTTAATGTGTATCAACTTACCTCACAGGAAATGCAAGAAAAGGTGTTAAAAACAGCTCCTGAGTAGGAGAAGTAAGAGTTTATCAACAGAATGTGTTGTCTGTTCTTCATGCATGCATCAAGCTTCACTTACTGAATCATTTTTAATAGCAACAGCAAAGGAAAACCATGTTGGTGCTTCTTCCAACTCAAATAATTTTTTTCTAATTCAAGTGTGACCTTAGATTTTTGAAGATGCTTATTGGCAGGTGGTGTTTGCTCATGCGGGGTCTGGTGAAACATTGATGGGGTTTGTACTAATGGCTGCCCACAAAAGTCAGGGTCATTCATGTTGGACGCAGCTATAAATGCTTGTAGCACAAAGTTACCAGATAGGGTAGACTTGTTGAGCCACAGTTATGTTCTTGCTTGTTAGTTGTTTTGCCCTGGTGGCTTCCACACTGGGTGAGTGTTCATTTCATGCTTTCATCTCCAGGCAAACCATAAAAGAATTGCAGTAAAAACATTGCCTAAGAATTATTGACATTTCACATTTTAATTGGATTGTGACTACATATGCACTGATTACACTGTAATGTAACTGAGCATAGCCATTGCAATTAGGAACAAGAATGATGTTGGATTTAATCTTTGGGCCTCAGGGTGTGGAGTGCCTACTATTAAGCCCAAGGTGAGTGGATACAACAAGATTATTAATGGCGAGAATGCAGTGTCCGGTTCCTGGCCCTGGCATGTTTCTCTTCAGGTAGGTCGCTCAGTCTTCTGAAATTCTCCAGTTCTGTTGAATCATGCAAAAACAAAATCCTCAGGCAAAGAAAATCTCTTGAAGAGACATTGTTCCAAACTTAGGACAAAAAAGGGTTTCACTTCTGTGGGGGATCACTGATCAACAAGGACTGGGTTGTCACAGCTGCTCATTGCCAAGTGTGGTAAGTCGCTGCATGTGTCCCATTGAAAACATTTGAAAAGAGTTTACTAAAAGTAAATAATTAATAAGATGGCGTTTCATTTTGGTAGGCTGCCAGACCACCGTGTGATCCTGGGTGAGCACGATAGGCTGTCCAACAGCGAGCCCATTCAGATCAGGACCATTTCTAAGGTAAGGACAATCATTCAAAAAAAAAAAAAAAAATCTGTTTTCTAAAACATGAGCTTTTTATCTGTGTGACAGATATTTCAACTTTTTTTAAAAATAATTTGACATTTCTTCACCTCTATGTACAGGTCATCACCCACCCTTCCTACAACTTTGTAGGCTATAACTTTGACATCCAACTTCTGAAGCTCTCCTCCCCAGCAGAGTTCAACTCCCGCGTGTCTCCAGTGTGCTTGGTCTCCTCCAGGAGCAGAATCACCTCTGGAACCAAATGTGTCACCACTGGATGGGGCATGACAGCAACATCCTGTGGTTGAGCCTCTTTACATGTCTAATCAGGATTGTTTTACAAGCATCAAAGCTGGAAAATCTTATATTAAAAAAAGCCCTGTAATGGATTTGGAGTGGTTGTGTTTTTTTTTTTTCTGTCTTCTCAGTCAGTGCTCGTTACCTGCACCAGTCCGCTCTGCCTGTGCTCAGCGCTGCTCAGTGCAGAATTTTCTGGGGTGACAGTACGATCACTGATGCCATGTTCTGTGCTGGTGGTTCTAAAATGTCTTCCTGCAAGGTAATGTGCAATTCAATGGTTAAAAACATACAAGCTTAAAATGACTACTGAATAATATGTTTTCAAAATACATTTGTAATGTGTGAAATGTGAAATTAAATATGCTCTTTTAAAAACTTTGTGAAAAATCCTCTTTAAATGTGAGTGTGATTGTGTATATCATAAGAGTCACCAACTGTCCTATTGCTACATTTTTTCCTGTTTTGAAAATCAGCCTGCACAGAGCTCACAGAAGGCAGAACACAGATAGTGTATGAATGCAAGTTCATCCATCTTAAGTTAATCTTGCAAACTATTTGCCTTGTTTCAGGGTGACTCTGGTGGCCCACTGGTGTGTGAAAGCAAAGGTGTGTGGTCTCTTGTGGGTACTGTGTCTTGGGGCACCATCGACTGCAATGTGTACAGCCCAGGAGTGTATGTCAACATGGCCTACGTGCGCAGCTGGATCGACCAGACCCTTACTGAAAACTAATCAGAAAAACACTAATGGAAACATGTGTTTTCTCAAGAAATAAGCAATAAAATCTTGAAGACTTTGAAGAGTTGCTTGTGTCATGTTCTTAAATAAGATGTGTATGCATGCATGGTGTGTGTTTGTGTGGCCTTGAATTTGATGCGTTGTAACGACCATTTTCCTAACTCATGCTACGTTGTGGGGACTGACTGGTTATGGATAAGGTTCAGGACTAAAGTGTGAATTGAGTTCACACTGGTTATGGTTAGATTTAGCATAAGTGTTAGAATAACCTACAAAAATGAATGAAAATGAATGGAGGCCACTGCAAAGTCCTTGTGAAAGTAGAAAAACGTGTATGTGCGTGGGTGCGTGTGTTTGCGTGTTCATGTGTATGTATCTGTGTGCATATGTGCAATTTCAGAATATATATTGACATGAGGTCAACAAAAACTTCTGATGGTAAAGGAAAAACCACAATGTCTTCAATTTAATTTAAGCTTTAAAGGTTTGAAAACATTTAGTTTTAAGATAAGTAAGTATAGAAATTTTTTTTTCACGGATCCAGAGATAAAAACAAAATATGCATAATGCTCTTAGCAGTAGATGTGTTTTTAGGAACTTGTGATCATTGGTAATGAAGTCAGCAAAAGCATTTGTAAAATTAGAATATGATCCAGATAAATCCAGTATACCAATAGTACCGTTGTTAAAGCTCCAACTACTTAAAATAAACACAGCGTAATCATTTCTGTTGCACAACACACATATGGTCTTTCAGATATGTTATCTGATGTGGTGACTCTGGTGACCCTCTGGTGTGCTTTCACACACCTAAAGCTTTGTGTGTCTCTCCAGTGAGTTTGAACGTCTCCATAAGTGTCAGTCAGTCGCCCATAGTAAGATCTACAACGACTAATGGGTACAATAAAGTTTTGATAAATATTGTTTTGCTGTGTCATGTTTGCCAATTAAATATTTATCTCCAATTTGAATATTTAGTTTAGAATGTAAAACTATTTAGCGGCAACCTATATATTTGGAAATAACATGGTATAAATATAAATTAATATAAATGAAGCTCCAATGTTTTTCATTTATGACATATAAGTAACCCAAATTATTGATTATTATTTTACAGTTTTGACTGTGTAACTTTACAAATGGTACCCCACAGTACTATGAAAAGTTATTTACCTCCCCTCACAACTTTCTGCTGTTTCTGCCTTTTTCTCTGCATCAGATCAGGCGAATGGGTAAATAAAATCCATGTTTCAACCGGTGAGTTTATTAAAAAGGGAAATAAAAAACCTATCCAAACCCACCCAGCCCTCTGTCAAAAGTAAGAGTTGAATTAGGTAATTAAATTATTAACTATATTAAAAATATAGTTGTATACTTACATGTAGTAAAAAATAATCCAAACAACACCAGGAACTCGACCTATGAATCGACTGAAATAGATTTTAATGTCCAAGTGAAAGCCCAGAGTCCAGCCCAATTGAAATGATGAAGCTTGACCCCCAAAACTGCATTATGAATTCATTTGTGTTAACTTTGATATTAAAATTACTTTATTTGAAGAACTCTAGGGTGGAAAAACAGCAAGAACAGGATGAATCTGTAAGAAGATAAACACGTTTTTAATTGCACTGTGCCTCAGGGTTGAACGTGTTCACTGATCCTATAAACATCAATACCTTGTTTTAGGTTCACGAAGGGGAAAGAGCCATGACCAAAGATAATAATATCTTGGGGAAATTTGAATTGACTGGTATTCCGCCTGCTCCCAGAGGAGTCCCTCAGATCGAAGTGACCTTTGACATTGATGCCAACGGCATTCTCAATGTGTCTGCAGTGGACAAAAGCACCGGAAAGGAGAACAAGATCACCATCACTAATGACAAAGGTTGGAGCACATATTACAGGGCAAAGATTGTTCATCAGAGAAGGTTTTAAAGTGACTGACGCAAGCTTTATGTTTCATTCTTCCTCAGGTCGACTGAGCAAGGAAGACATTGAGCGCATGGTGCAAGAAGCAGAACAGTTCAGATCTGAAGATGAAGCCCAGAGAGACAAGATCACTGCCAAAAATTCTCTTGAGTCTCTTTCCTTCAACATGAAGAGCACAGTGGAGGACGAGAAGCTCCAAGAAAAGATCAGTCCTGAGGACAAAAAGACCATCACAGATAAGTGTAACGAAGTAATCGCCTGGCTGGACAGGAACCAGGTAAGATATCCGTAAATTAAAAATGCTTTCATCATTATCCGAGAACAAGAGCTTCATGTTTGAAAAAGTTGTGAAATCACAGATGTTTAGCAGAGAAACTGTGATAGACATTTTTCCAGTTCCTTATTGTGTTTTTACTTTTATAGCTCTTACACAACAATTATCTGCTTCTTTGTTTTTTTACATAGACAGCTGAGAAGGAAGAGTATGAGCACCAACAGAAAGAGCTGGAGAAAATTTGCAACCCAATAATCTCTAAGCTGTACCAGGGGGGAATGCCAGGAGGAATGCCAGGAGGAATGTCGGGAGGAATGCCAGGAGGAATGTCGGGAGGAATGCCAGGAGGAATGCCAGGAGGAATGCCAGGAGGAATGCCAGGAGGAATGCCAGGAGGCTTCCCTGGCGGAGCCGGAGCTGGTTCTTCCTCTGGCCCAACCATTGAGGAAGTCGACTAAATATGAGCAATAAGCACAACAGTTACTTATCTTAGCTTGATTACATGTACTGGCTGTTCAAACCATGCATTTTGTGGCAAATGGGCACACCATAAAAATTCAACTTATATTTGCTCTACAGCATTACTCTTAGTGTAATGAGCTATTGCTGAAATAGCAACAGGCTCCTTCTTGCCAGAAAGAGTCTGGGTCTCTGAACTTTGTCCCTTTCAGACATAATTGCAAATCTTTATAGAGATGTTTTAGAGGCCAGCACAAATACGTTTGTACACACCTGTGAAGTAAATAGTAAAGTATGTATGGTTCTCAACACTTTTGGCAAATGTGAAGCAGACCCCTGAATTAAAGTTTGCCCAACCATATTTCAATGCAAGAGCTTTTTTGTGATATCACTATTCAAGCTTTGTAAATTCAGAGACATTTCAGATTTTTTTCAGAAGAGCTCAAGCTTGGCTCCATTGGATGGACAGTCTTTGTAAACAACATATTCTAATTCTAATCAGAAGAAAATCACAATCACAATTAAATTTGACCTATTCCATTCAGACACATGTGCTTTCATTTAAACCGCTCCATTTTCAGCTCTGTATGTATGTTTCTGGTCATCGTCTTGCTGTAAAGTGACCTTCAACCCCAGTTTTAAATTTTACAGGAGTCCTTCCAACATTGCCTTGTATTTAAGAACACAATCCATCAACTCTGTCCACTTTCCAATCCCTACAAAGAAAAGCCTCCCCGCTGCACAAACTTACCACCAGCATCACCATAAGGCAAAAGGTTGAATTTTTGGTCTGATGTGACCAGAGTACCTTCTACCACATATTGAACTTGTTGCAAATTGCACAGACAACTGAGAAAAAATGTTCACTTTTGAATAGTCAAACATTTCAGACAGTCATTCAGATGAGTTAAACAGTGAGACAAAACATGTTTAAAGCTGGTGGCATTTCTGCTGTCAAAGGCTAAACTCTTGCAATAAACATCTACGCATCTTTATCCCTGACTGTCTGCTGTGTTCATTGACCTTCATTATGCCGTTTGTGTTGTTAAACAAACCTCTGAGAAATTCATACAGCTGCATTTATACTAAGCTCAAATCACTTGGGTAGAGTGTGTTTACTAATTAGTTTCAGTGGATTTGGTTGAACCCCAGTCCAACCAATCTGCATGCCACACTTTGCTTTTTTTCAGATTTTGATGTTGGAAAGATTAGGTATTTCCTCCTTCCTATTGACAATTGTGTGTCATTAAAGGCAAAACTGCAGTGAAATGAACTCAGGCTTGAGGTGTGTTCAGTCTTCAGCGTTTGATTGTATAAATCATTAAGGTTTACTTTAAATAACTCTCCAACATAGTAATAGGTTAATGACAAGGCATGCAATATGGCAACTATATTACCAATCTGACAGACTCTTCCTTAAATATAACCACATTTTGATCAGCATAATTTTAATGTGTATCAACTTACCTCACAGGAAATGCAAGAAAAGGTGTTAAAACAGCTCCTGAGTAGGAGAAGTAAGAGTTTATCAACATAATGTGTTGTCTGTTCTTCATGCATGCATCAAGCTTCACTTACTGAATCATTTTTAATAGCAACAGCAAAGGAAAACCATGTTGGTGCTTCTTCCAACTCAAATAATTTTTTTCTAATTCAAGTGTGACCTTAGATTTTTGAAGATGCTTATCGGCAGGTGGTGTTTGCTCATGCGGGGTCTGGTGAAACATTGATGGGTTTGTACTAATGGCTGCCCACAAAAGTCAGGGTCATTCATGTTGGACGCAGCTATAAATGCTTGTGTAGCACAAAGTTACCAGATAAGGTAGACTTGTTGAGCCACAGTTATGTTCTTGCTTGTTAGTTGTTTTGCCCTGGTGGCTTCCACACTGGGTGAGTGTTCATTTCATGCTTTCATCTCCAGGCAAACCATAAAAGAATTGCAGTAAAAACATTGCCTAAGAATTATTGACATTTCACATTTTAATTGGATTGTGACTACATATGCACTGATTACACTGTAATGTAACTGAGCATAGCCATTGCAATTAGGAACAAGAATGATGTTGGATTTAATCTTTGGGCCTCAGGGTGTGGAGTGCCTACTATTAAGCCCAAGGTGAGTGGATACAACAAGATTATTAATGGCGAGAATGCAGTGTCCGGTTCCTGGCCCTGGCAAGTTTCTCTTCAGGTAGGTCGCTCAGTCTTCTGAAATTCTCCAGTTCTGTTGAATCATGCAAAAACAAAATCCTCAGGCAAAGAAAATCTCTTGAAGAGACATTGTTCCAAACTTAGGACAAAAGGGTTTCACTTCTGTGGGGGATCACTGATCAACAAGGACTGGGTTGTCACAGCTGCTCATTGCCAAGTGTGGTAAGTCGCTGCATGTGTCCCATTGAAAACATTTGAAAAGAGTTTACTAAAAGTAAATAATTAATAAGATGGCGTTTCATTTGGTAGGCCGTCAGACCACCGTGTGATCCTGGGTGAGCACGATAGGCTGTCCAACAGCGAGCCCATTCAGATCAGGACCATTTCTAAGGTAAGGACAAATCATTCAAAAAAAAAAAAAAAAAATCTGTTTTCTAAAACATGAGCTTTTTATCTGTGTGACAGATATTTCAACTTTTTTAAAAATAATTTGACATTTCTTCACCTCTATGTACAGGTCATCACCCACCCCTTCCTTCAACTCAAAACCTTAACTTTGACATCCAACTTCTGAAGCTCTCCTCCCCAGCAGAGTTCACTCCCGCGTGTCTCCAGTGTGCTTGGTCTCCTCCAGGAGCAGAATCCCCTCTGGAACCAAATGTGTCACCACTGGATGGGGCATGACAGCAACATCCTGAGTGAGCCTCTTTACATGTCTAATCAGGATTGTTTTACAAGCATCAAAGCTGGAAAATCTTATATTAAAAAAAGCCCTGTAATGGATTTGGAGTGGTTGTGTTTTTTTTTTTTCTGTCTTCTCAGTCTTGCTCGTTACCTGCAGCAGACCGCTCTGCCTGTGCTCAGCACTGCTCAGTGCAGAATTTTCTGGGGTGACAGTCGATCACTGATGCCATGTTCTGTGCTGGTGGTTCTAAATGACTTCCTGCATGGTAATGTGCAATTCAATGGTTAAAAACATACAAGCTTAAAATGACTACTGAATAATATGTTTTCAAAATACATTTGTAATGTGTGAAATGTGAAATTAAATATGCTCTTTTAAAAACTTTGTGAAAAATCCTCTTTAAATGTGAGTGTGATTGTGTATATCATAAGAGTCACCAACTGTCCTATTGCTACATTTTTTCCTGTTTTGAAAATCAGCCTGCACAGAGCTCACAGAAGGCAGAACACAGATAGTGTATGAATGCAAGTTCATCCATCTTAAGTTAATCTTGCAAACTATTTGCCTTGTTTCAGGGTGACTCTGGTGGCCCACTGGTGTGTGAAAGCAAAGGTGTGTGGTCTCTTGTGGGTACTGTGTCTTGGGGCACCTTCGACTGCGATGTGTACAGCCCAGCAGTGTATGTCAACATGGCCTACGTGCGCAGCTGGATCGACCAGACCCTTGCTAAAAACTAATCAGAAAACACTAATGGAAACATGTGTTTTCTCAAGAAATAAGCAATAAAATCTTGAAGACTTTGAAGAGTGCTTGTGTCATGTTCTTAAATAAGATGTGTATGCATGCATGGTGTGTGTTTGTGTGGCCTTGAATTTGATGCGTTGTAACGACCATTTTCCTAACTCATGCTACGTTGTGGGGACTGACTGGTTATGGATAAGGTTCAGGACTAAAGTGTGAATTGAGTTCACACTGGTTATGGTTAGATTTAGCATAAGTGTTAGAATAACCTACAAAAATGAATGAAAATGAATGGAGGCCACTGCAAAGTCCTTGTGAAAGTAGAAAAACGTGTATGTGCGTGGGTGCGTGTCTTTGCGTGTTCATGTGTGTGTATCTGTGCATATGTGCAATTTCAGAATATATATTGACATGAGGTCAACAAAAACTTCTGATGGTAAAGGAAAAACCACAATGTCTTCAATTTAATTTAAGCTTTAAAGGTTTGAAAACATTTAGTTTTAAGATAAGTAAGTATAGAAATTTTTTTTTCACGGATCCAGAGATAAAAACAAAATATGCATAATGCTCTTAGCAGTAGATGTGTTTTTAGGAACTTGTGATCATTGGTAATGAAGTCAGCAAAAGCATTTGTAAAATTAGAATATGATCCAGATAAATCCAGTATACCAATAGTACCGTTGTTAAAGCTCCAACTACTTAATAAACACAGCGTAATCATTCCTGTTGCACAACACACATATGGTCTTTCAGATATGTTATCTGATGTGGTGACTCTGGTGACCCTCTGGTGTGCTTTCACACACCTAAAGCTTTGTGTGTCTCTCCAGTGAGTTTGAACGTCTCCATAAGTGTCAGTCAGTCGCCCATAGTAAGATCTACAACGACTAATGGGTACAATAAAGTTTTGATAAATATTGTTTTGCTGTGTCATGTTTGCCAATTAAATATTTATCTCCAATTTGAATATTTAGTTTAGAATGTAAAACTATTTAGCGGCAACCTATATATTTGGAAATAACATGGTGGAAATATAAATTAATATAAATGAAGCTCCAATGTTTTTCATTTATGACATATAAGTAACCCAAATTATTGATTATTATTTTACAGTTTTGACTGTGTAACTTTACAAATGGTACCCCACAGTACTATGAAAAGTTATTTACCTCCCCTCACAACTTTCTGCTGTTTCTGCCTTTTTCTCTGCATCAGATCAGGCGAATGGGTAAATAAAATCCATGTTTCAACCGGTGAGTTTATTAAAAAGGGAAATAAAAACCTATCCAAACCCACCCAGCCCTCTGTCAAAAGTAAGAGTTGAATTAGGTAATTAAATTATTAACTATATTAAAAATATAGTTGTATACTTACATGTAGTAAAAAATAATCCAAACCACACCAGGAACTCGACCTATGAATCGACTGAAATAGATTTTAGTGTCCAAGTGAAAGCCCAGAGTCCAGCCCAATTGAAATGATGAAGCTTGACCCCCAAAACTGCATTATGAATTCATTTGTGTTAACTTTGATATTAAAATTACTTTATTTGAAGAACTCTAGGGTGGAAAAACAGCAAGAACAGGATGAATCTGTAAGAAGATAAACACGTTTTTAATTGCACTGTGCCTCAGGGTTGAACGTGTTCACTGATCCAATAAACATCAATGCCTTGTTTTAGGTTTACGAAGGGGAAAGAGCCATGACCAAAGATAATAAATATCTTGGGAAATTTGAATTGACTGGTATTCCGCCTGCTCCCAGAGGAGTCCCTCAGATCGAAGTGACCTTTGACATTGATGCCAACGGCATTCTCAATGTGTCTGCAGTGGACAAAAGCACCGGAAAGGAGAACAAGATCACCATCACTAATGACAAAGGTTGGAGCACATATTACAGGGCAAAGATTGTTCATCAGAGAAGGTTTTAAAGTGACTGACGCAAGCTTTATGTTTCATTCTTCCTCAGGTCGACTGAGCAAGGAAGACATTGAGCGCATGGTGCAAGAAGCAGAACAGTTCAGATCTGAAGATGAAGCCCAGAGAGACAAGATCACTGCCAAAAATTCTCTTGAGTCTCTGGCCTTCAACATGAAGAGCACAGTGGAGGACGAGAAGCTCCAAGAAAAGATCAGTCCTGAGGACAAAAAGACCATCACAGATAAGTGTAACGAAGTAATCGCCTGGCTGGACAGGAACCAGGTAAGATATCCGTAAATTAAAAATGCTTTCATCATTATCCGAGAACAAGAGCTTCATGTTTGAAAAAGTTGTGAAATCACAGATGTTTAGCAGAGAAACTGTGATAGACATTTTTCCAGTTCCTTATTGTGTTTTTACTTTTATAGCTCTTACACAACAATTATCTGCTTCTTTGTTTTTTACATAGACAGCTGAGAAGGAAGAGTATGAGCACCAACAGAAAGAGCTGGAGAAAATTTGCAACCCAATAATCTCTAAGCTGTACCAGGGGGAATGCCAGGAGGAATGCCAGGAGGAATGTCGGGAGGAATGCCTGGAGGAAAGGAGGAATGCCAGGAGGAATGCCAGGAGGAATGCCAGGAGGCCAGGAGGAATGCCAGGAGGCTTCCCTGGCGGAGCCGGAGCTGGTTCTTCCTCTGGCCCAACCATTGAGGAAGTCGACTAAATATGAGCAATAAGCACAACAGTTACTTATCTTAGCTTGATTACATGTACTGGCTGTTCAACCATGCATTTTGTGGCAAATGGGCACACCATAAAAATTCAACTTATATTTGCTCTACAGCATTACTCTTAGTGTAATGAGCTATTGCTGAAATAGCAACAGGCTCCTTCTTGCCAGAAAGAGTCTGGGTCTCTGAACTTTGTCCCTTTCAGACATAATTGCAAATCTTTATAGAGATGTTTTAGAGGCCAGCACAAATACGTTTGTACACACCTGTGAAGTAAATAGTAAAGTATGTATGGTTCTCAACACTTTTGGCAAATGTGAAGCAGACCCCTGAATTAAAGTTTGCCCAACCATATTTCAATGCAAGAGCTTTTTTGTGATATCACTATTCAAGCTTTGAAATTCAGAGACATTTCAGATTTTTTCAGAAGAGCTCAAGCTTGGCTCCATTGGATGGACAGTCTTTGTAAACAACATATTCTAATTCTAATCAGAAGAAAATCACAATCACAATTAAATTTGACCTATTCCATTCAGACACATGTGCTTTCATTTAAACCGCTCCATTTTCAGCTCTGTATGTATGTTTCTGGTCATCGTCTTGCTGTAAAGTGACCTTCAACCCCAGTTTTAAATTTTACAGGAGTCCTTCCAACATTGCCTTGTATTTAAGAACACAATCCATCAACTCTGTCCACTTTCCAATCCCTACAAAGAAAAGCCTCCCCGCTGCACAAACTTACCACCAGCATCACCATAAGGCAAAAGGTTGAATTTTTGGTCTGATGTGACCAGAGTACCTTCTACCACATATTGAACTTGTTGCAAATTGCACAGACAACTGAGAAAAAATGTTCACTTTTGAATAGTCAAACATTTCAGACAGTCATTCAGATGAGTTAAACAGTGAGACAAAACATGTTTAAAGCTGGTGGCATTTCTGCTGTCAAAGGCTAAACTCTTGCAATAAACATCTACGCATCTTTATCCCTGACTGTCTGCTGTGTTCATTGACCTTCATTATGCCGTTTGTGTTGTTAAACAAACCTCTGAGAAATTCATACAGCTGCATTTATACTAAGCTCAAATCACTTGGGTAGAGTGTTTACTAATTAGTTTCAGTGGATTTGGTTGAACCCCAGTCCAACCAATCTGCATGCCACACTTTGCTTTTTTTCATTTTGATGTTGGAAAAAGATTAGGTATTTCCTCCTTCCTATTGACAATTGTGTCATTAAAGGCAAAACTGCAGTGAAATGAACTCAGGCTTGAGGTGTGTTCAGTCTTCAGCGTTTGATTGTATAAATCATTAAGGTTTACTTTAAATAACTCTCCAACATAGTAATAGGTTAATGACAAGGCATGCAATATGGCAACTATATTACCAATCTGACAGACTCTTCCTTAAATATAACCACATTTTGATCAGCATAATTTTAATGTGTATCAACTTACCTCACAGGAAATGCAAGAAAAGGTGTTAAAAACAGCTCCTGAGTAGGAGAAGTAAGAGTTTATCAACAGAATGTGTTGTCTGTTCTTCATGCATGCATCAAGCTTCACTTACTGAATCATTTTTAATAGCAACAGCAAAGGAAAACCATGTTGGTGCTTCTTCCAACTCAAATAATTTTTTTCTAATTCAAGTGTGACCTTAGATTTTTGAAGATGCTTATCGGCAGGTGGTGTTTGCTCATGCGGGGTCTGGTGAAACATTGATGGGGTTTGTACTAATGGCTGCCCACAAAAGTCAGGGTCATTCATGTTGGACGCAGCTATAAATGCTTGTGTAGCACAAAGTTACCAGATAGGTAGACTTGTTGAGCCACAGTTATGTTCTTGCTTGTTAGTTGTTTTTGCCCTGGTGGCTTCCACACTGGGTGAGTGTTCATTTCATGCTTTCATCTCCAGGCAAACCATAAAAGAATTGCAGTAAAAACATTGCCTAAGAATTATTGACATTTCACATTTTAATTGGATTGTGACTACATATGCACTGATTACACTGTAATGTAACTGAGCATAGCCATTGCAATTAGGAACAAGATGATGTTGGATTTAATCTTTGGGCCTCAGGGTGTGGAGTGCCTACTATTAAGCCCAAGGTGAGTGGATACAACAAGATTATTAATGGCGAGAATGCAGTGTCCGGTTCCTGGCCCTGGCAAGTTTCTCTTCAGGTAGGTCGCTCAGTCTTCTGAAATTCTCCAGTTCTGTTGAATCATGCAAAAACAAAATCCTCAGGCAAAGAAAATCTCTTGAAGAGACATTGTTCCAAACTTAGGACAAAAAGGGTTTCACTTCTGTGGGGGATCACTGATCAACAAGGACTGGGTTGTCACAGCTGCTCATTGCCAAGTGTGGTAAGTCGCTGCATGTGTCCCATTGAAAACATTTGAAAAGAGTTTACTAAAAGTAAATAATTAATAAGATGGCGTTTCATTTTGGTAGGCGCAGACCACCGTGTGATCCTGGGTGAGCACGATAGGCTGTCCAACAGCGAGCCCATTCAGATCAGGACCATTTCTAAGGTAAGGACAATCATTCAAAAAAAAAAAAAAATCTGTTTTCTAAAACATGAGCTTTTTATCTGTGTGACAGATATTTCAACTTTTTTAAAAATAATTTGACATTTCTTCACCTCTATGTACAGGTCATCACCCACCCTTCCTCAACTAGGCTTAACTTTGACATCCAACTTCTGAAGCTCTCCTCCCCAGCAGAGTTCAACTCCCGCGTGTCTCCAGTGTGCTTGGTCTCCTCCAGGAGCAGAATCACCTCTGGAACCAAATGTGTCACCACTGGATGGGGCATGACAGCAACATCCTGTGGTGAGCCTCTTTACATGTCTAATCAGGATTGTTTTACAAGCATCAAAGCTGGAAAATCTTATATTAAAAAAAGCCCTGTAATGGATTTGGAGTGGTTGTGTTTTTTTTTTTTCTGTCTTCTCAGTCATTGCTCGTTACCTGCACAGAGTCCGCTCTGCCTGTGCTCAGCGCTGCTCAGTGCAGAATTTTCTGGGGTGACAGATCACTGATGCCATGTTCTGTGCTGGTGGTTCTAAATGACTTCCTGCAAGGTAATGTGCAATTCAATGGTTAAAAACATACAAGCTTAAAATGACTACTGAATAATATGTTTTCAAAATACATTTGTAATGTGTGAAATGTGAAATTAAATATGCTCTTTTAAAAACTTTGTGAAAAATCCTCTTTAAATGTGAGTGTGATTGTGTATATCATAAGAGTCACCAACTGTCCTATTGCTACATTTTTTCCTGTTTTGAAAATCAGCCTGCACAGAGCTCACAGAAGGCAGAACACAGATAGTGTATGAATGCAAGTTCATCCATCTTAAGTTAATCTTGCAAACTATTTGCCTTGTTTCAGGGTGACTCTGGTGGCCCACTGGTGTGTGAAAGCAAAGGTGTGTGGTCTCTTGTGGGTACTGTGTCTTGGGGCACCATCGACTGCAATGTGTACATCCCAGGAGTGTATGTCAACATGGCCTACGTGCGCAGCTGGATCGACCAGACCCTTGCTAAAAACTAATCAGAAAAACACTAATGGAAACATGTGTTTTCTCAAGAAATAAGCAATAAAATCTTGAAGACTTTGAAGAGTTGCTTGTGTCATGTTCTTAAATAAGATGTGTATGCATGCATGGTGTGTGTTTGTGTGGCCTTGAATTTGATGCGTTGTAACGACCATTTTCCTAACTCATGCTACGTTGTGGGGACTGACTGGTTATGGATAAGGTTCAGGACTAAAGTGTGAATTGAGTTCACACTGGTTATGGTTAGATTTAGCATAAGTGTTAGAATAACCTACAAAAATGAATGAAAATGAATGGAGGCCACTGCAAAGTCCTTGTGAAAGTAGAAAAACGTGTATGTGCGTGGGTGCGTGTGTTTGCGTGTTCATGTGTGTGTATCTGTGTGCATATGTGCAATTTCAGAATATATATTGACATGAGGTCAACAAAAACTTCTGATGGTAAAGGAAAAACCACAATGTCTTCAATTTAATTTAAGCTTTAAAGGTTTGAAAACATTTAGTTTTAAGATAAGTAAGTATAGAAATTTTTTTTTCACGGATCCAGAGATAAAAACAAAATATGCATAATGCTCTTAGCAGTAGATGTGTTTTTAGGAACTTGTGATCATTGGTAATGAAGTCAGCAAAAGCATTTGTAAAATTAGAATATGATCCAGATAAATCCAGTATACAATAGTACCGTTGTTAAAGCTCCAACTACTTAAAATAAACACAGCGTAATCATTCCTGTTGCACAACACACATATGGTCTTTCAGATATGTTATCTGATGTGGTGACTCTGGTGACCCTCTGGTGTGCTTTCACACACCTAAAGCTTTGTGTGTCTCTCCAGTGAGTTTGAACGTCTCCATAAGTGTCAGTCAGTCGCCCATAGTAAGATCTACAACGACTAATGGGTACAATAAAGTTTTGATAAATATTGTTTTGCTGTGTCATGTTTGCCAATTAAATATTTATCTCCAATTTGAATATTTAGTTTAGAATGTAAAACTATTTAGCGGCAACCTATATATTTGGAAATAACATGGTGGAAATATAAATTAATATAAATGAAGCTCCAATGTTTTTCATTTATGACATATAAGTAACCCAAATTATTGATTATTATTTTACAGTTTTGACTGTGTAACTTTACAAATGGTACCCCACAGTACTATGAAAAGTTATTTACCTCCCCTCACAACTTTCTGCTGTTTCTGCCTTTTTCTCTGCATCAGATCAGGCGAATGGGTAAATAAAATCCATGTTTCAACCGGTGAGTTTATTAAAAAGGGAAATAAAAAACCTATCCAAACCCACCCAGCCCTCTGTCAAAAGTAAGAGTTGAATTAGGTAATTAAATTATTAACTATATTAAAAATATAGTTGTATACTTACATGTAGTAAAAAATAATCCAAACAACACCAGGAACTCGACCTATGAATCGACTGAAATAGATTTTAATGTCCAAGTGAAAGCCAGAGTCCAGCCCAATTGAAATGATGAAGCTTGACCCCCAAAACTGCATTATGAATTCATTTGTGTTAACTTTGATATTAAAATTACTTTATTTGAAGAACTCTAGGGTGGAAAAACAGCAAGAACAGGATGAATCTGTAAGAAGATAAACACGTTTTTAATTGCACTGTGCCTCAGGGTTGAACGTGTTCACTGATCCAATAAACATCAATACCTTGTTTTAGGTTCACGAAGGGGAAAGAGCCATGACCAAAGATAATAATATCTTGGGGAAATTTGAATTGACTGGTATTCCGCCTGCTCCCAGAGGAGTCCCTCAGATCGAAGTGACCTTTGACATTGATGCCAACGGCATTCTCAATGTGTCTGCAGTGGACAAAAGCACCGGAAAGGAGAACAAGATCACCATCACTAATGACAAAGGTTGGAGCACATATTACAGGGCAAAGATTGTTCATCAGAGAAGGTTTTAAAGTGACTGACGCAAGCTTTATGTTTCATTCTTCCTCAGGTCGACTGAGCAAGGAAGACATTGAGCGCATGGTGCAAGAAGCAGAACAGTTCAGATCTGAAGATGAAGCCCAGAGAGACAAGATCACTGCCAAAAATTCTCTTGAGTCTCTTTCCTTCAACATGAAGAGCACAGTGGAGGACGAGAAGCTCCAAGAAAAGATCAGTCCTGAGGACAAAAAGACCATCACAGATAAGTGTAACGAAGTAATCGCCTGGCTGGACAGGAACCAGGTAAGATATCCGTAAATAAAAATGCTTTCATCATTATCCGAGAACAAGAGCTTCATGTTTGAAAAAGTTGTGAAATCACAGATGTTTAGCAGAGAAACTGTGATAGACATTTTCCAGTTCCTTATTGTGTTTTTACTTTTATAGCTCTTACACAACAATTATCTGCTTCTTTGTTTTTTTACATAGACAGCTGAGAAGGAAGAGTATGAGCACCAACAGAAAGAGCTGGAGAAAATTTGCAACCCAATAATCTCTAAGCTGTACCAGGGGGAATGCCAGGAGGAGGAAATGCCAGGAGGAATGTCGGGAGGAATGCCAGGAGGAATGCCAGGAGGCTTCCCTGGCGGAGCCGGAGCTGGTTCTTCCTCTGGCCCAACCATTGAGGAAGTCGACTAAATATGAGCAATAAGCACAACAGTTACTTATCTTAGCTTGATTACATGTACTGGCTGTTCAAACCATGCATTTTGTGGCAAATGGGCACACCATAAAAATTCAACTTATATTTGCTCTACAGCATTACTCTTAGTGTAATGAGCTATTGCTGAAATAGCAACAGGCTCCTTCTTGCCAGAAAGAGTCTGGGTCTCTGAACTTTGTCCCTTTCAGACATAATTGCAAATCTTTATAGAGATGTTTTAGAGGCCAGCACAAATACGTTTGTACACACCTGTGAAGTAAATAGTAAAGTATGTATGGTTCTCAACACTTTTGGCAAATGTGAAGCAGACCCCTGAATTAAAGTTTGCCCAACCATATTTCAATGCAAGAGCTTTTTTGTGATATCACTATTCAAGCTTTGTAAATTCAGAGACATTTCAGATTTTTTTCAGAAGAGCTCAAGCTTGGCTCCATTGGGATGGACAGTCTTTGTAAACAACATATTCTAATTCTAATCAGAAGAAAATCACAATCACAATTAAATTTGACCTATTCCATTCAGACACATGTGCTTTCATTTAAACCGCTCCATTTTCAGCTCTGTATGTATGTTTCTGGTCATCGTCTTGCTGTAAAGTGACCTTCAACCCAGTTTTAAATTTTACAGGAGTCCTTCCAACATTGCCTTGTATTTAAGAACACAATCCATCAACTCTGTCCACTTTCCAATCCCTACAAAGAAAAGCCTCCGCTGCACAAACTTACCACCAGCATCACCATAAGGCAAAAGGTTGAATTTTTGGTCTGATGTGACCAGAGTACCTTCTACCACATATTGAACTTGTTGCAAATTGCACAGACAACTGAGAAAAAATGTTCACTTTTGAATAGTCAAACATTTAGACAGTCATTCAGATGAGTTAAACAGTGAGACAAAACATGTTTAAAGCTGGTGGCATTTCTGCTGTCAAAGGCTAAACTCTTGCAATAAACATCTACGCATCTTTATCCCTGACTGTCTGCTGTGTTCATTGACCTTCATTATGCCGTTTGTGTTGTTAAACAAACCTCTGAGAAATTCATACAGCTGCATTTATACTAAGCTCAAATCACTTGGGTAGAGTGTGTTTACTAATTAGTTTCAGTGGATTTGGTTGAACCCCAGTCCAACCAATCTGCATGCCACACTTTGCTTTTTTTCAGATTTTGATGTTGGAAAAGATTAGGTATTTCCTCCTTCCTATTGACAATTGTGTGTCATTAAAGGCAAAACTGCAGTGAAATGAACTCAGGCTTGAGGTGTGTTCAGTCTTCAGCGTTTGATTGTATAAATCATTAAGGTTTACTTTAAATAACTCTCCAACATAGTAATAGGTTAATGACAAGGCATGCAATATGGCAACTATATTACCAATCTGACAGACTTCCTTAAATATAACCACATTTTGATCAGCATAATTTTAATGTGTATCAACTTACCTCACAGGAAATGCAAGAAAAGGTGTTAAAAACAGCTCCTGAGTAGGAGAAGTAAGAGTTTATCAACAGAATGTGTTGTCTGTTCTTCATGCATGCATCAAGCTTCACTTACTGAATCATTTTTAATAGCAACAGCAAAGGAAAACCATGTTGGTGCTTCTTCCAACTCAAATAATTTTTTTCTAATTCAAGTGTGACCTTAGATTTTTGAAGATGCTTATCGGCAGGTGGTGTTTGCTCATGCGGGGTCTGGTGAAACATTGATGGGGTTTGTACTAATGGCTGCCCACAAAAGTCAGGGTCATTCATGTTGGACGCAGCTATAAATGCTTGTGTAGCACAAAGTTACCAGATAGGTAGACTTGTTGAGCCACAGTTATGTTCTTGCTTGTTAGTTGTTTTGCCCTGGTGGCTTCCACACTGGGTGAGTGTTCATTTCATGCTTTCATCTCCAGGCAAACCATAAAAGAATTGCAGTAAAAACATTGCCTAAGAATTATTGACATTTCACATTTTAATTGGATTGTGACTACATATGCACTGATTACACTGTAATGTAACTGAGCATAGCCATTGCAATTAGGAACAAGAATGATGTTGGATTTAATCTTTGGGCCTCAGGGGTGGAGTGCCTACTATTAAGCCCAAGGTGAGTGGATACAAACAAGATTATTAATGGCGAGAATGCAGTGTCCGGTTCCTGGCCCTGGCAAGTTTCTCTTCAGGTAGGTCGCTCAGTCTTCTGAAATTCTCCAGTTCTGTTGAATCATGCAAAAACAAAATCCTCAGGCAAAGAAAATCTCTTGAAGAGACATTGTTCCAAACTTAGGACAAAAGGGTTTCACTTCTGTGGGGGATCACTGATCAACAAGGACTGGGTTGTCACAGCTGCTCATTGCCAAGTGTGGTAAGTCGCTGCATGTGTCCCATTGAAAACATTTGAAAAGAGTTTACTAAAAGTAAATAATTAATAAGATGGCGTTTCATTTTGGTAGGCCGTCAGCCACCGTGTGATCCTGGGTGAGCACGATAGGCTGTCCAACAGCGAGCCCATTCAGATCAGGACCATTTCTAAGGTAAGGACAATCATTCAAAAAAAAAAAAAAAAAATCTGTTTTCTAAAACATGAGCTTTTTATCTGTGTGACAGATATTTCAACTTTTTAAAAAATAATTTGACATTTCTTCACCTCTATGTACAGGTCATCACCCACCCTTCCTTCAACTCAAAAACTTAACTTTGACATCCAACTTCTGAAGCTCTCCTCCCCAGCAGAGTTCAACTCCCGCGTGTCTCCAGTGTGCTTGGTCTCCTCCAGGAGCAGAATCCCTCTGGAACCAAATGTGTCACACTGGATGGGGCATGACAGCAACATCCTGTGAGTGAGCCTCTTACATGTCTAATCAGGATTGTTTTACAAGCATCAAAGCTGGAAAATCTTATATTAAAAAAAGCCCTGTAATGGATTTGGAGTGGTTGTGTTTTTTTTTTTTTCTGTCTTCTCAGTCATTGCTCGTTACCTGCAGCAGACCGCTCTGCCTGTGCTCAGCACTGCTCAGTGCAGAATTTTCTGGGGTGCAGATCACTGATGCCATGTTCTGTGCTGGTGGTTCTAAATGACTTCCTGCATGGTAATGTGCAATTCAATGGTTAAAAACATACAAGCTTAAAATGACTACTGAATAATATGTTTTCAAAATACATTTGTAATGTGTGAAATGTGAAATTAAATATGCTCTTTTAAAAACTTTGTGAAAAATCCTCTTTAAATGTGAGTGTGATTGTGTATATCATAAGAGTCACCAACTGTCCTATTGCTACATTTTTTCCTGTTTTGAAAATCAGCCTGCACAGAGCTCACAGAAGGCAGAACACAGATAGTGTATGAATGCAAGTTCATCCATCTTAAGTTAATCTTGCAAACTATTTGCCTTGTTTCAGGGTGACTCTGGTGGCCCACTGGTGTGTGAAAGCAAAGGTGTGTGGTCTCTTGTGGGTACTGTGTCTTGGGGCACCTTCGACTGCAATGTGTACAGCCCAGAGTGTATGTCAACATGGCCTACGTGCGCAGCTGGATCGACCAGACCCTTGCTAAAAACTAATCAGAAAAACACTAATGGAAACATGTGTTTTCTCAAGAAATAAGCAATAAAATCTTGAAGACTTTGAAGAGTTGCTTGTGTCATGTTCTTAAATAAGATGTGTATGCATGCATGGTGTGTGTTTGTGTGGCCTTGAATTTGATGCGTTGTAACGACCATTTTCCTAACTCATGCTACGTTGTGGGGACTGACTGGTTATGGATAAGGTTCAGGACTAAAGTGTGAATTGAGTTCACACTGGTTATGGTTAGATTTAGCATAAGTGTTAGAATAACCTACAAAAATGAATGAAAATGAATGGAGGCCACTGCAAAGTCCTTGTGAAAGTAGAAAAACGTGTATGTGCGTGGGTGCGTGTTTTGCGTGTTCATGTGTGTGTATCTGTGTGCATATGTGCAATTTCAGAATATATATTGACATGAGGTCAACAAAAACTTCTGATGGTAAAGGAAAAACCACAATGTCTTCAATTTAATTTAAGCTTTAAAGGTTTGAAAACATTTAGTTTTAAGATAAGTAAGTATAGAAATTTTTTTTTCACGGATCCAGAGATAAAAACAAAATATGCATAATGCTCTTAGCAGTAGATGTGTTTTTAGGAACTTGTGATCATTGGTAATGAAGTCAGCAAAAGCATTTGTAAAATTAGAATATGATCCAGATAAATCCAGTATACCAATAGTACCGTTGTTAAAGCTCCAACTACTTAAAATAAACACAGCGTAATCATTCCTGTTGCACAACACACATATGGTCTTTCAGATATGTTATCTGATGTGGTGACTCTGGTGACCTCTGGTGTGCTTTCACACACCTAAAGCTTTGTGTGTCTCTCCAGTGAGTTTGAACGTCTCCATAAGTGTCAGTCAGTCGCCCATAGTAAGATCTACAACGACTAATGGGTACAATAAAGTTTTGATAAATATTGTTTGCTGTGTCATGTTTGCCAATTAAATATTTATCTCCAATTTGAATATTTAGTTTAGAATGTAAAACTATTTAGCGGCAACCTATATATTTGGAAATAACATGGTGGAAATATAAATTAATATAAATGAAGCTCCAATGTTTTTCATTTATGACATATAAGTAACCCAAATTATTGATTATTATTTTACAGTTTTGACTGTGTAACTTTACAAATGGTACCCACAGTACTATGAAAAGTTATTTACCTCCCCTCACAACTTTCTGCTGTTTCTGCCTTTTTCTCTGCATCAGATCAGGCGAATGGGTAAATAAAATCCATGTTTCAACCGGTGAGTTTATTAAAAAGGGAAATAAAAAACCTATCCAAACCCACCCAGCCCTCTGTCAAAAGTAAGAGTTGAATTAGGTAATTAAATTATTAACTATATTAAAAATATAGTTGTATACTTACATGTAGTAAAAAATAATCCAAACACACCAGGAACTCGACCTATGAATCGACTGAAATAGATTTATGTCCAAGTGAAAGCCCAGAGTCCAGCCCAATTGAAATGATGAAGCTTGACCCCCAAAACTGCATTATGAATTCATTTGTGTTAACTTTGATATTAAAATTACTTTATTTGAAGAACTCTAGGGTGGAAAAACAGCAAGAACAGGATGAATCTGTAAGAAGATAAACACGTTTTTAATTGCACTGTGCCTCAGGGTTGAACGTGTTCACTGATCCAATAAACATCAATACCTTGTTTTAGGTTACGAAGGGGAAAGAGCCATGACCAAAGATAATAATATCTTGGGGAAATTTGAATTGACTGGTATTCCGCCTGCTCCCAGAGGAGTCCCTCAGATCGAAGTGACCTTTGACATTGATGCCAACGGCATTCTCAATGTGTCTGCAGTGGACAAAAGCACCGGAAAGGAGAACAAGATCACCATCACTAATGACAAAGGTTGGAG